CTAATTTTTCAAATTTTAGTTCACTTCTGAAAATTCTCGAAAATTATTAAAATTATTTGTCATTTAAATGGTTTGAGCTGTTTTTTTTTTAATTTTTCGCATCAAAAATCGAAAGAATTCGCAATAATCTAGCGAATTTTATTCGAAAAGCTGTGCAAATTACCGTTTCCAAAATTTTTTTCGCCAAAATATTAACGTTCAGCTTTGCCGTTAAAAGAATTAAACCAGCAATTTTTCCTTACACTTTTCCACTCCTCTCTTTATGAAAAATCGCATCGCAACTACTGCACATTGTGTGAAGAGGATCTATAAGAGGAAGCAATAATATAACGCGAGAGTAGAACCAGAATATTCCTTCGTTTTTCATCTGACAAGATTTGTGGAGGAAGCAATTTATATATGTATATAAATTCAATTTTCTAGCCTAATCATATTTCAATCCAATAGTTCCAATAGTTGGAAAAGAATTGATAAAGGTGCTTATATTTGAATGAAACAACACTGATGAATTGCTAACAACACTGATAATCGTTGTGATAATTGGCTAATTTGCTCTTCTCGCGTGAAAAGATATTTTCCTTCTCTGACCATTTTCACCATTATCGGTTAGGCCCAGCTATCTATAAGGGTATTTTTCAGTTCGTTCTGCTGCCATTGCTGGCAGTAGTGGAAGCCGTTCTTTTTTCCATTGTTTAAGTCCATATATCGATACGATGAGAAAAGATCTTGAACGTATAGCTGGACCAGCAATATATGGACTTAGACGATGGAAAAAGGAATGGCTTCCATTACTGTCGACGATGGCATCAAATCGCGCCGCTTAGAAGCGTCTCACTCTTATAGCCGTTGGAACCAGTAATGGTGAGAGCTGTTAGAAGAAGAAGTCCATAAATCGCTGGTCTCGCCATTTAATAAAGTCAAGGCACTCAATACATTTTACTTAATTATCCATGCATTTTCAATATATTGTGAAAACCAAAATCGGAAGATGGTTGAGAAAAAACTGAGATTTTAAAAACCTAGTGAAACTGGCAAGTTTCTGCCGTCGAGAATTGAGCTTCAGGATCGATGCTCCGAAACGAACCTCTAAAACAATCGACTCACTTTTGCAACACCGTAATATTTTCCATATCTTAAACTATGCGATCGATTGGAATTGAAATTGCTTACCCTATTGGCTCTGAAAGTTAAACAATTATAGTACCATGGACTTGTTTATGTCCCCATTTTGGCAAAAAATTGCAGCTATAATAAATAAAATAAACATTTCACTTGGTATCAACGGTCTTTTATAGTTTTTGCTTTGATTTACAAATTTTTTTAATCATTTTTATTTATCATTCAATTTTTTTATCATTTATTATTTTTAGAAATTATTTTTACCATTTTTTTAACTATTCAATTATTGATAATTATTATGGTGATAACAAATATGATGATAATTATTTTTAGTAGCAAATTTTTTTGATTTCTACTGAGAAATCAATTATTAATTCTTTAAATTTTTTTGCAGCAAACACATTCGTTTAAATTTTGTTGAAAACAATTCGTTTTTTTGATATGACGCAGAAAAGGCCAAATGAAATGGCATATGTTTGCACTCCTAAATGCAATTGATATTCTTATAGGTGAATGCAATTGGTACTCTTGTAGGAGAGTGTGAAGTATCAAACTGATTTGACTAGTGCCTTTATAGAGGAGTGCGATTGGTACTCTTATACGAAGTGCAACTGGTATTTTATAGGCGAATTAAAGGATCAGTTGGCATCGGTGATAGAGAAATATGTAAAAAATAAGTGAACTAGTCAAATCAGTTTGATACTTTTTTTTGATTGCACAAATTATATATGAAAATAATGAAAGTTTTTAAAATATGCTTTATATACCTTCGAAAATATCCATATTTTATTTCAGTAAAATTTATATAACTTTTTATTTTTATTTTAATAAAATTAGTCATAACTGAAAAATTTATTTTTGCGCTACTAATTTCAAAAATTATCCTAAAGCGATAACTAGTTCTCGGTAGCTGTTTGATTATGTTCAAATTGATTATGCCGTAAAATTCTATTTTTTTGTTTCGGTTGAGGGGGATTAACTGCTAAATTTGAGGATTTTGGATTTTTTTTCGTTTATATTACTGAAAAATAGATTTTGGAATTGTCGAATGCAAGAAAAATAGTAAGTTTTAGGTTCGATTGATTAAAATTTTCATTCAGAAAATTATACTTTTTTTTTCAAAAAAATCAAAAAATTGTATCGATTTTCGAATTTTTTTCAGTTTTCCTTCTCATTGATTTTCATTTCATAATTTCATATTTTTTAAATATTTTTCTTATTTTTCTGCTTTATTTTACTTTTAAAAAATAAAATATATAATTTAATTTGTTTATTTTTTTTGCGATTCAATTTTAATTTTTTATTAATTTTTGAATGAATTTTGTTTATTCGTTTTGCTAATCCTTTGTGTTATTTTTTTTTAAATAATCGTTTACACAATATTTTCGATTTATTTGATTTACTTCAATGACTGCTAAGACTACTATTTTCGCTAATCAATTACATAGAATACGGACGCAAATCGAATTTCACCTTTAATGACCGATTTACGTGTTTTAAAGAATATGCACGGCGATTTAGAAAAGAAGCAAAAACTTGGTTCTCTTATTTGCTAAACCCTATGATGGATGGCGTCGAAAGCGAGAGGGACCAGTCGAAGCCGGGACTGATGCAGTCAGGAAAGATTTTGAACGTATAGGTGGACCAGCGATATATGGACTTTGACGACGAAAGAACGAATGGCTTCTGTTTCTATTACGTCGGTGTTGACATCATATCGCACAACTTGGAAATGTCTCATCCATGTAGGAAGCGGAATCAGTAGTGGGTGAGAACTGCTAAATGAAAAAGAAAACAGAAAACAACTCAGCAGTCTTTTCCATTGTTATAATCGTTTTAATGTCACTGAAATGATTTTCGTTTTTAATTTATGCAAATAAATAATATTAAAATATAAATTTATTGTTCCCTTTTAATATTGTCAAATAAAAATTATCATTGTTTGAAGCTGTTCAGATCGAAAACATTTTTATTTTTAAGAGAAATGCCGTTATCAGTTGAGAAATGCTTTTGCATTATTATCATAAATTTTATGGCTTTTTTTTTTATACACTTTTCTTACTTTAATCAATCGATGAAAATTTCAGGCTTTCTTTAAAGAGTCTTCCGGATTTCTGAATTTCAACGAAGACTGATTTTTATTCGTGAAATAAACATCGAATTTATTGTTATTGTTGCTGTTAATGATGTGGAGTTGGTGGATTATTCGTAAGCTTAAAAATTTAGTGCATGAATAAACTGCTTTTTGAATGGTGTTGAAAATTTTTTTCTTTTTTATCTTTTATCAGCAGTTGATAACTTTTTTCAATTTTTGGAGCTTTATTCACAGTTGGTCCTTTGATGGTTAGTATTGCCTAGTTGTTTTAAAAATGGTTCGGGTTCTAAACCAATGCTTCGGCAGTGTCGCCAAGCGGCGAAAACTAATGGGAAAAGAAAGCAGAGAGAGGGAGGCTTAATGGGTTATTGCTTATATTCCACAACATTGATGCTAGGATTCTCTTTCCGGCAGGAATAATAAACTTATTCCATTGAACGTTGAAAATGCGAGTGATGCTGGTGATTTACCTATATTTCTATCGCCAAGTGACTTCCTGGCAAAATTTGTCTGATCCGACAAGCTAGCGGCGGAACCAGCAAAGAATAACGCGCTTAGGAAAAAATTTCTTTTCTTTAAATTTTTAGCATTTAAATCTTATTAAATCTTTAAATTTTATTAATTAACACTTTATTATTCGTTATCAGTTATTAGATTTTTTTCACTCTCTTTTATTCTAATGCAACAAATGTGAATACTAATGATGAAATGGTTTAACAGTGAATACTTAAATTTTGGATAGAAATGTTTCCTTAATGTTTCCTAAAATATTTGCTAATTTTTATATCAGTTTTTTCTTTTTCATTTACTTTCATTTCATTCCTTTTTTTGTTCGCTGCTGTTCCAAATTTTCCAATCCAATCCAAATTTTTCAACTAATGCAACTTATATTTGATTATTATATATTTGATTATTGTTATTTTCTCTTGTCTTTAACTAGAATTTTCTTTTTAAATTTAAATTCTGTTTAAATTTTCCGTTTGAATTAAACTTTTATTACCAGTTAGTTTGTTATGAATTAGAGAAATGTCTTGTTTTATATAAGGCACTGTCGAATTTTTTTCTTCAAAATTTAAGAATTCTTATTCTTTCTTGATGTGATAAATGTTATTTAATCACAACATTAAATTTGTTTTCCATTTTCTTCCTTTTCATCTACTTCTTTTGGCTTTGATTTTTAAAACCTTTTTGGAGATTTTATTTTATTTAAATGGATTCATATTAAGCAATAATAACTATTTTATTACTATAATTTCTTTTTAATTTCTCAATGAAAAGTTTTTTATTTATGCGGAAGTTTTTTTTTAAATTTTCCTTTAGTTACTTGTCGATTACTTGTCGTTTTATTCTTTTATTTCATCTTTCATCGTTTTTTCATATAACAACGTTTTCTGATTTAAATAGCTTCACTAACCATAAAGTGAGATTCCTTTGCCAGGGAGTTACTTTAGGATTGAAGTATGGGTGCTCCTCTCAGCTCCTCTAGGATTTCATCTTTAGTGAAAGGTATACTCTTATTCATGTAATAGCAATCATATCGATGATGCAGATGCTTTTTACGTTCCCATTTCCATGTGATTATGCTTTCTTTTCCCCTTTATATTTGGTGATATTTTTCATATTTTTAATACCGTTTTCATTTTAATTTTATAGTTATTTGGGCTGCTTTGATTGAAAGCCTTGCAAAGAAGAAAAAGTTACAGAAAGATTGGCTTTTTTTGGACGCTGATATTCGTTATTGACAATTATATACGAAGATTTTTTGCAGTAATTATGTTTTCTAGGTATGCGACGATGGTTTTCAAGATTCAGTAGTTCATCATCTGCAAACACATCTCGAGTCACGTCACCAACACCATGCGATCAATTGCATGTGACACAATCCATTTCAGCTGATCATTTAACATTAGAGTATGATCCACTTTCATTGCTGCCTTCACCTTCATCTCCATCGCTCATATTGAACAATAGCTTATGGAATGCTGATTTTGCATCCGACCCGAGCAGTTGGGAAAAATTATTTATGTCTCACTGGGAGCAAGTTGAAGAAATTGTTGAAAGTGAAGGCGAAATTACATATGAAAAGGTTAATATTTTTCAATATTTTTATTTATTTAATTTTTATTTAATATGAAAAATCGTTATTTTCGGAAGATTTCCGGCACTATTCCAAAAGTTTTATAAGTGGTAAAAGAATTGGTTTATGTACAAGCAAACAATGATTCTGAGTATGACTTTTGAAAAAATAATTTTATAAAATAATTTTGAATGGAAAATTCATAAGGATAAAATTAATGTGATTTGAGATTTAGGCGGTTTCGGTTTTTCCTCGTATTAGTCAAATGGTTCAGTTATTAATGATGGAAATCAATGCACAGCCGGAATCAGCCATTGGACCCATCCTTGATTGCTATTTTACGGACCAGATTATTGAAAGAATCGTTGATTGGGCACTAGAGGCACCACAGTTTTTAATTTCAGCCTGTCAAGTAAGGAAATTTTCAGTCAATAATTTTTATTTTTGTTTAAAATTATTTTATTTTTTGTCGATTTCTCGATTGATATTTCATCGTTTTTTCTCAAGCTTTAATTGATCAAAAGAATGGAATTTTTCAACCAAAATATTTTCATATTTGAATTGTCATTATCGATTTTAGGTTAGCTTATTGCGAATCTATGAAATAATAGTTGGCGAAAGTCATACTCAAAATCATTGTTTGCTTGTACATAAACCAATTCTTTTACCACTTATAAAACTTTTGGAGTGGTGCCGGAAATCTTCCGAAAATAACGATTTTTTGCCGCTGAATACTGATAAACATTTTGTTATTCTTTTAAATCAGGTAAACCACATTTACTACTTGCTTGTTATTTAATATCGACATAAATTCATAGAAAACAGGTCGGAGCCCTGTCAACATCATAGTTATCCTCTAGCAGATAATGTTTTAAGTTTAAAAATTTGGCTTTTTTATCTACGTATTTCTTTGTTTTTTTATCCAACATAAAATTTTCCAACTTTTTTGGCTTTTCTATTTGTTGTGGATATGTTCGTTTTTCCAAGTTTTTTTTAAGTTTTTTTTTGAAGATTTGTACTAAAATGGCTGAGGACGCCACTTTATTATTATTTTTCTTTACTTTTGATGAAGAGTGTGAGCAGTTTTTGGTATTCAATCTTCTTATTCCATATTTGTATGATGCTGGAGATATTGGACAGTTAGCTCGTGACGCAGTTCTTTTAATATTATCAGTTTCTCGGCATTTGAAACAAATAGCTGCTTTCATTGCTTTCAAGGTTTAAACTTTAAACTTTCGTTGTTTTGGTTGCTTTCCACTTTTGATTGTTATTTTTTAAACATTTTCATAGAAATTTTGTTTTAGTCCAATTTTTGCCCAGTTGTGGCTGCTGGTTTGTCTGGATGTTTCTCTCAACTTCCACGCAATATTGCTTCAGTATTCTACGTTGGTGATGACTGGCATAAATTGAGCTTAAGTGATATTGAGTTTCATTCAAGCTTGTCTGATTTTCATTGTTCTTTATTATTCTGTAACGCCATAATTCAGGTTTTATTTTTATTCTTTCTTGATTTTTTCATCATTTAAGCTGATAAAATCTTCATTGTTTTCAAATTATATCGAACTGTTTTAGGTTGCACATGAATTTGTTATATCTGAGTTGATCGCTTTTATTTATAATGGGTTTCTTCTTCCTGTTGTATTGCCATCTTTGCTTCAAGTAACTGTTTACTAATTACTTTGATGTTTTCTTACTGTTTAGCTTGAACTTTTGAAATATTTTGCAGACTGGTCAAGAAGAACTAATTTCATCAACTGCTTATTATCATCAATGTTTAGAGGCTGTTACCGAATCTGCATTGATTCAGGCTTTAATCAAATTGTTAATTGTGGAAGAATGCGAACCAAATAAAAAAGTAATCGATGTAATTGTAGAAAGGATATCTGTTGGTAATCGAGTTGGTTTTTTTAGTCCTTTTAATATTTCGTAGTTAATCACTGTCAATTTTTAATGAAATTTAATCGAGAATCTTTTATTTCAGTTGAGTCAGGTTAGTTTATCGCTCTTGCGGTCATTGATCGATTTACGTTGTGAAGATTTTATGCTTGATCTCATCTTTAGGTAATTTCTTCCAAATTTTAACGGCTTATTTTCTAGATTTTGCTTTTATTTGCACTGGTATCAAAAAAATGCAAAATAGCTAGCTAGCATGAACTATGAGGCAGCAATTTTTTACTATTTTTTATTAGATATCAGAAAAAAGAATATTTATTTTTTTTTAGGTATTTACTTCCTTGTACATTTATTCAACCCAATCAAATATCTCGTCTGCGAAATCGTAAATATGCCTTGCCGGCGGCTAATTGTCTTCTATCATTTATTCCGAATTGTACTTTAAAATTTTCTTTGGTATATATATTTTAAAATTATTTATACAAATAGATGATTTGTACAGAATATAGGAGAGATTTTTTAATGAGCTTAATTTAGTATTTTTTTAATTTAATTATCTGTCCTTGTTCTTGTTTATTTTTTGCCGTCCAGCGTTCCCTTATATATAATGGGCTCTTTCGACTTTCTTTCTTTCTTTGTTTCTTCTACGAGCGTATCATTAACTTTCTGCCTTTTCATTGTACCACTGAGTAGCAACATCATCTGGATTCATTTTTAATGACATGAAAGAATGGAAGTCCAACTAATATTTATATACATTATATATCCAAAGTTGACTTTTTATTCAGTTATTTATTTAATGATCCATTTACCTATTCTCATTTATATTTATCTAAATTCAAATCTATATTTGATGCAACCATTTGTCCAATATTTTCAGTTATGTTCTCAAGATACGTTACAAGCATATCTTCTGGAAGCTCGCAAATGTGTGCAACTAACTACTGATTCTTGTGCAAAAGCATGGCAGTGGGATTATGATGGGCGTAGTCCGCCTCCACATATGTTTCGATCGAGTTCTAATGAAGATAACGTGGAAAATAGTGCTGTTAGTATTTATAATTTATCACCAAATATTTATATTTATTTATAAAAATTTCGAGTCTTTTATCTGCATTCTATTTTATATAATGTATTATTTTGAATTTTGAATTTATTATTTCTTTTCAAGTTATATGTAATTTCTAAATTTATTGTTAAATTTAGTTAAATTATTGTTATATTTATTGAATTAAATTTATTTATTGTAAAATTTAAATTTATATATAATGATTTATTGTATATAATTTGTTTGTGGCACCTGTTATTAATTTCAGGCGTTTATTCGGCAGAACTCTACTCGTTCTTCATTAGTTTCAGCTCGCAATGGTCTAAATCGTTATTTCATTAACCATGGCGCCCACGCTACAGCAGAAAGTTTATGTCAGCATTCCCCATTGCCTGAGTTAGGTGAAGGGAATAAATCATCAAAATCTGATTTCTTCTACGATGATATTGATTCTTCGGCAATTATGGAAGATGACATCCAGCTATTGATTCCACCCATTACGTTTGTTTTTCGTTTTAAATTTCACCTATTTCAACTAAATATATTTTTTCGAAAGATGCGATTGGTAGAAAATCATTTTTTCATAATCATTTTATGCACAGCCAGTTAAAAAAAGTTGAAAAACCAGAATTATATGCTTTATTTTATAAGTTCTCCGAACTATTTTCCACTCTTTATCCTTTTTAATCAATCATAGTTTTTTTTCGTGATTAATGGAAATTGCAGAGAGAGTTCAATTTCTATGTCATCTTCTTGTGACTATTTTCAACTAGCGTTCTATGAGAATTCTGGATCTGATGGTGAAGTACAAAGCGTTACGCATATTGCTCCTGTAAATGGCACAACACAGAATTCCGTTAATTGTCAAAATGAATTGGTCGATCGGAAAATTAGTATGACGAGTGCAGAATGTGATACTGATACTGAAATGGCTCGATCGTTTGTTTTGCGTGGATGGGCTCAAGTTGAGGTTTATTTTTATTTCTTTATTTTTATTTATTTTTCATTTTTTTTAGGTATTTTTCGATAATTTATCGTTGATTGTTACACTATAATTTAGGATTTGGATACTTTCATGGCTCTTCTTGAGCATGTGCCACCATGTAAATCAAGCCATTCATTGGAAGAGAATCTTGCGCTCATCGATTCCAGAATTCAATATTTAGACGAACTCAAAATTGATGATTCTGTCGCTGAAGATAATCAAGAATCCAAGAGGATGGAAGGCATAGGTGAAGCCGAAGGCGTATCAACAAGCCGTGGTTATAGCATTGTATATCACGAACATCAAGGTTTTTTTTTATGATATCTTTTATTTTTGTTCGGTCTAAAAGTTATCTAAAATTTTCAAATCGTTATCCAGCTATATATTTTTATTCAATTCAAAATTTTCTTAACTGGTTGTAGTAGAAACTCAATATCGTATCAGTTAATGGATATTTTAAGAATAGATATTTTAACGATCAATATTTGATTTTTAATTTGGTGCTGCCCTTTAGAGACGATTCAATAATGTGGGCATTTGCTAATCTCAAAATGATGTTATATTTCAGGTGTTGGTCCTCTTCTGGAGTCACTATTCAGATTGCTAGAAAATATGTTAGATAATCCATTATATGTGAATTTACATTTAACTTCAGTTTTATCTACATTAGCTTCGTTTACACAACCGTTGATTGCTTGCTATTTCTTCGATCAACAGTTAAAACTACGTCCCGGTGTCAAAAATCTTTTCAAGGTCCACTAATAAAGGTTTCTTTTCTTTTTTATCTGTATTCTTTCTTCTAATCTTTTTTTAAAGATATTGAGTACGCTGAAAACGCAAGTTGACACATATGCAGCATCATTTGATGGTTTCGATGTTCTTCTGGAACGAGGCATAAAATATTTAAAAACTCGTGCGCATCGATATGAGAAGGTTTCAATATTATAGTTGTTTTTCATTTTAAAAGGCTTTTTTTGCTTTAATTTTTTATCATTTTATTTTTTATATTTTTTCACAAGAAGTGCATTTTTTATAATTCATTCTAGGCCTTTGAAAATGCTCGAACAAACATGCAACGCCACGCATCATCCGTTAATGATAATATTCGACAATGTAATGGTAACGCGTATTTTCATTCTGATTCTTCAAGCTATCTTTCAAGGTTAATCTATTTCCTTGAAATGATATAACATTTACAGCTGCAAAAAGCTTTTTCGATAATTTTGAACAATATTTATCTTATTTATTGTTATTTTAGGACTCCAAGTTGTAAAATTGCACTAAAAAAGATTTTTTTGAACATCCATGTTTTCGAAACAAATTTGATTATTAAAATTTCAGAAAAGTTTCAGATTAAAACATTTCGGCGGTCATTCTCGACATTCTTATCCTAATGATTCTGTCAATTTTCACGCATTCCGATATTTTAGCCATAAAGCAAGAGAAAGTAGTGATATGATGAGCGATAATGCTCGTGCTAAACAAGTTGTTTTTGTTGCCATTATTTTGTCTCAACTCTGTCAGGTTCGTTTTTTTAATATTTTTTAATATGTTTAATTTTTTACATTTTTGGAATTCATTTAAGTCTTTTCTTAACGTATGGTATTATTGTAAAAACTGTTAATTTGATATCATCTCTCATTAATTAAATGGTAAATAAATAATAATATAGCCTATCGAACAGAAAAAGCAATATAAAGAACAAAATTATAATGAGACATAAAAAAATAATTCTGTGTAAATCTCTCACTTGAAATGAAGTCTAGAAGCTTGGAACCTCTTCCCACAGGGAGTGGTGTATCAGTCAAGTCAGAAATAGTAAATGCAATTAAACAATGAATATATAACAAAAAAAATTTCAGAAATTGGCAGCCATTGTCTTACATCACTGGATTATTGTCCCCTATCCTCGCAGTGTAAATTTAACTTCAGATTAGAGCATTTGCATTGTAGTTTTATTAGTTTAATATATTCGTAATTTCGAAATTTTCATTTTTTAAAAAGTTTTAAATTGTAAAGAAAAGATTTTCTGCTTCCATAGTAAAGATTTTGTTTTTTCTTTTATATTTCATTTAGGTGATCGAACAGGAATTCATTTCTGATGTAAATATATAAATATATTTTTGCGTTATTTTCGTGATTTTCATTTTGTATTTTGCTAATAATCTCGACTGCCTTTAACCTTAATTTTGGCTTGCAAATTATTTTTCAGATTATTTTAGAGTCGAATACATCCCATCAATTATTTAAACATTTAGGATCTTAGATATATTTCATTATAATTGCTAATAAAAATATTGGTAATTTTAGTGAAACATTTACTAAGAATGGAGAGGGAGGAGTAAGAGGAGGGGGAGGGGGAGGGGAGTAGAAACAACCAGTTTTAGTAGTCGTAGTCATTTTTCACATTTACTATTTTCTATGATTCCTTTTATGATTCCTTTATGTCACATTTTGTAATATAACTTTTCTTGATATTATGTAAATATTTTATCGAATTATAAATTTTTAAATTATCAAATCGTGCCTTTGGTTCATTTTTCTTGAATTATACTATAACAATAAAGATATTTAAATGAAATTTTCTAAGATTTCTTCGTGTATATTTCTGCTTGAATTTTGGAATAATGTATAAAATGATAGTTTTATATTCTGGTATACTTGAATAAAAATGAAATTTATTGCAATTTCTAACATCTCTCATCATTACTGGTTGGGCTGGCTCCAACGAGGGTAAGACGCTTCCAAGCACTGCGGTCTGATGCCATCATCAACAATAATGGAAGCCATTCCTTTTTCCATCGTCTAAGTCCATATATTGCTTGTCCACCTATACGTTCAAAATCTTTTCTTACCGTATCAGTCCGGGTCTTGATTGGCTTTTGATGTCAACCATCACACGGTTTAGTAAATAACGAAATATGCGTCAACCCCTGTGTCGGCGTCATTATTTATCCAAGCGGTATTTGAACGAAGATGGATGCGATCTTGTGACATTTTATTCGCTCGACGGATCCGTAATATGTACCTTAGATAAGAGTGATCAAAGACAGAACTTCTTAATATCCTCCATTCTCATTGGCCGTATATCAGAACCATATAGTAAGATCGAATGGATCACGGCAATATAGGTGCGGACTTTTGTTTTTATGATGGTTTCACGATTCCATAAAGATTTCGTCAACCGAAAGAACGCATTTCTATCTGCCGATCCGAGTTGTAATATTATCTTTTGCCTGTCCATTTGGTATTAGAGTGGACCCAAGATATTTGAAATCGGGCAGTTCCTCAACCGGCAATGAATTTACAAAAAGAGGCATTTTATCAGCTTCTTGTAAGATGAAATGACTTTCGTTCTATTTATATTTATCCTGAGTCCGATTCTTGCTACAGTTTCTGACACGTTAATTAGTATTACTTGTATTTCATTACAATTGTCAGCAAAAAGGACTACATCATCAGTATATTCAAGATCTGTGATAAGATGCTCTGAACTAATTCGGATACCTCTTGAGTGGCGACAAATAGTGTCCATTATCCAGTCTATTGCAAAGCTGAATATTGTGCGGAATTTGTTGTCAAATGATGATATCAAATCAACTGATTATCACCTGGAATTCCTGAAATTCTTTAAAAGGTCCTGTTTATGTTGAAATCCATTGAAGATGGGAAGTTTTGTGTACTTCCAGCTGTTAGATGGTACATGAAAAAAAAATAAAGGATTTGCAAATTCATTTATTAACATGGAATGAAATTTTTCTTGTCCTTAGATCGCCGTTTCCCCAACAATTCTCTAACATTCATTTTAAATTCTTCAAGAAATGAATGTAATTATAAAATGAATAAGTAATACATTTACATAAGGCAATAAGAGGCATGAGAAGTATTGCATTTAAACAAAGAGGTCATTCCAATCAAAAGAATAATTTTAACTAGTATTGCTGATAAGATTCAATATTATTACCACTAAATCGCCCGCAACTGGAATGACCTGAAAAGACGGTACCATATATATACAAATAATGCGAGAAAAATAATTACCACATGATCGACTTTACTGCATAAATTTAATTCGTTTATGAGTTAAAATGGAATGAATGTGATCGATGTTTTTTTTTTAAACTAGAAATCTTTAAATAAAAATAGCTATTTATGAATATAATTCAAATTAATTGTTAATAGTCGCTTATCTTTTAAATATATATCGCAATTTCCAACATGAAAATATGCCTAAAGAAATTATTCCAAAAAGAATAAACCAATTCCGAAAGCGTGCTCCATGTTTTGTAGGCACCACATATTCCTTCTTTTTCATGCTCTTTTCTGCATTTATAATTATATTTGATAATTGCACGAACTGTGCCTATAAATATTTTTTTATAAATTTTGTAGATTATTTAATAGTATCGAAATAAATTGATTATATATGAATAATCATTTGCAGAAAAGGAATCTTTACCCAAGACTTTCCATCTTGATACCAAGTCATATGAATTCGGTGCTGTAAATATTTCCATGTATATAAAGCGATGGAAGAGATTGCATCACGACAATTATTTTGCGCCATATGAACTGCAAACAGGCCGCAAAATGCGATTAGAGCAATTAAACGAGCGTAAGTCATCTTATTTTCTGGACCAACCAGGCAAAAATTTTTAACAAGCTGAAAATAAAGAAATAAATGAAAAAATAAAGAAAAATAATAAATAAAAACTGGAAACAGTAAAATTTTTAAAAAAAATACTAAAGGAAATGAAAACGGAATCCGTTGAATTACCTCGATATAACGAGCTTGAAATATATATTGGTCATCTCCAATTAATTCGAAGACCATCTTTTCTAATTCTCTTTTATGATTTTTTTCAAATAGTTTTGCTAAAAACCTCATGGCTTCATATTCTGGGAGATCATGTTCAGCTATTTCTGGTCGCTCATACCATTCCAAACCTTCTTCCGCTAATCGGTAATTTATATAGTCAACAACAAAACCCTAAAAAATAATTTTATAAATGACCGAAGAGAACCTAAAACTTTTATTAAATAATTATTCAACGATTACTTCCAAAATTTAAAATTCAAGTAAATTTTTATAAAATAAAATATATTCATACAAATATTAACAAACATTTCTTCGAAACCAACCCGCACAGAATATTTCTCCAACTCAAAATCACAAAGCGGTTCAACTGTAATGTCACTTTTGCGGACCATTGTTTCATTTGATAAAACTGCATGATCTGAGCCAGTGGAACAATTCGGCGATACTATATGTTGATCATCAACAATAGTCATTTTCTAAAATCTTTATTTATTGATATATATGCACAAATACATAAAAACACAGAATGAACGCCAAAATCTAAATGTGAATTATAAAACTATTTGCAAAATAAGCAAGACACTGATTTGTAAAATCAATTTTTTTGTCGATATCAAAATGTAAGGTCGATTTCCCCACTCCGCGTTGAAAATATTTTATAATAAACGGCATTAAATCTGAATTCAGTGCAACAACCTGCTACCTATGTTGCTTATTTCTAACAAAACAAAATAATATGACGCAAAACGACGCAACGGAAATTTGCGAAAAAGTTTTCGAACATAAATATACTGAGTAATAAAAAAAATATAAATTAACTCTATTATTAATCGATAAATGGTGAAGAAAAATCTAATTTTAACTAATGTTGACTTTTCTGTAAGCCAGTGTGTGGTACAATTACGACAGTTAATGCAATGATAGCACTCAATATTAGAACAAGATAGCCTGTTTTATAAACCGATGCAATATCAGTTCCTAAAGCACAATCAAATGCAATAAATCTTATGCCATTAAGAGTATGGAACACAATCGGATAAGCAATAATAAATTTAAAAGCATCTGTTATAATCCATGGTAATCCCAATCCACGAATAAATTCAATGAATATCGTGAAGTTTAATGGAAGTAATGCAAAGCCAACTCCTCCAATCAACAGAGTACCTATAATATTTAAATTTAACATCTGCCATAATTTCCAAAAGAATACCCACTATTTTTTCAGAAATGTCAACATATTGTAGATTTAAAAAAAAAAAACACTTGGCTTCAGGGAAAAAAAGGCATGTAAATAATTAACAAAAGGGAAGAAGGTACAAAATTTGTAAAAGCTTACCTGCCATTGCGCAACCAGTCATACGATGAAAGCCAGAAACCATCCAGGTTAGCTGCGGTTTATATACTTGAAGATGCGGGCTGATTGGGCGCTTTAGCGCTCTTTGTCTCATCAGATAATTCCAACCCCAAATTTGAATAGGCGTTTTCGCAGCTGACTTACTTTGTGCGCTTGTCTGCATCAATTTCAACGACTAAAATAGTAAAATTATCATGAAAGAACCAACAAATAGTAAGGGTTTTCTCAAAAATTTTCATGATCATTCGACCATTTTTGATTCACCATTTACATAAAAATTCACCTAAAATCAAAATCTCTTTTTTCTCACCTTTTATACGATTCTTTTAGAAAATACAGTTTTTAAAAAAAAAAAAACAAAATAAAACCTTAAAAAAATTAAAAGCCTTAAAACCTGAATGTTTCGCAGTGGTACACGGCATAAACCCATTCTATATGGCAAAAGATACATCGTGAAATATGGAAAATCTAAACATCTTCAAAGTATAAATGATATCTTTAATATAAACAATTTCTTCGACAAATATTCACTTCACATTTTCAAATTTCCATAAAAAGTAGAAAAATTTAAAAAAGATAGAAAAACTATAAAATTAAAAAACTGCAAAATTTTACGATAAGAAAAAATATTAAACGCGAAAAGTGAATCATTTTAAAGAAAACCCGAAAATCTTTAAAAACCCTTCCAAAAATATTAAGGCCAACAACATGAACAGAACCTTCCCCTTCCCCCCCCCACCCCCCCTAACCAAAAAGACCTCAACACCCCACATCAGAGAGCGCGCAAATCGAGAACCACACCGACCTCAACTCCTCCACTCAACGCAACCAAGCCAATATTAATCAATTCACGATCCACAAACAATCGTTTCAAGAAAGAATTCTTTCATCACTAGCAGCTAAATATTTAAAGATTATTTCTATTTTTCCATTTGTTTTTCACTAAATATCGTAAATATGGTTAAAAGCATTAGCATAGTTCATAAGGTTGAACTTTATCACCGATTTCAGTACCTGGAATAATTCCGAAAAATTCAGGAAAATTGAAAAAATATAGGGCTGCAAGGAAGAATTTAGTTTTAGTTAATTAGATAATTATTACATGAACCTTAAAATCATTTTACGATTTGCTTTTCGCTTTAGGCTTAACTTAGGCTTTGGCCTTGGCTTTGGCTTTGGCTCTGGCTTAGGCTTAGGCTTTGGCTTTGATCATTGGTGTGGGAATTGTGGCCTAATTAGTTTTTTATCGATTAATATTTAATAATACTTTTAATAATGTATTTTAATAATATATAAATATTATATTATACTTAATATTTTAATATTTAATTTATTTATTAAATTAATTTTATCTATAAATTTTATTTATTAAAATATATATTTTTAATTCCGCAATGATTTTTATTTTTAATTTTTTTAAATTTTTTTTTGTTAATCTACAAGTTCTATAGAAATTGCGCTTTAAAAATTCCAAGGAAGCCTAGTTTAAATGTTTTTGTTTGAACGAATTTCTTAACGGTCGTGAAAAACGCTGATTTGTTGTACGAGCATTGTCCTGCAGATTGTTTGTCTTATTTGCCTTAGGCGAGGAAAATGAGATCGCCTAATCCTCTTGAGAAATGCCAAGGAGCTTAGAGAGTTCGTTGAGGGCACTCTGGCGGCCACTCATTTAGGCCATTTCAATTATTCTATCTATTCTATTTGTCGTTTATTCTATCTTCACAATGCTTGTTTCACACACATTTTTCGAAGTATTTGTTGGAGGCATTTCTCATTTTCCTTCTGTTCCTCTACTTCGTTCCTTCTCGTTAATCATTGGCAGTAATTCATATATTTTGTTGAATATTTTATAAATTTTTCTTTAATTGCGGTTCTCATTGTCCTCATTTTTTTCTCAGGAATTCGTTTGACTAGGAATGAATCACCAACATCACCTGAATTTTATCCCAGTTTTCCCAAAACGTCAACATTAACACCTGAAAACGGGAGGAATTGTCCATTGAACCATTTTGATTTTAATCTGTGGAGCAATTTCTACCCAATTTTTCTTCCTTAATTTTTGCTATGAATTCCAGATTTTTTGTTTTATTATGGGGCGAAAAAATCAGGAATCGGCTGATCCAATTATATATGATCCGATGATAACTAACAAATCCGATGATTATAATTGTGCAGAGGGTTCATCAAATGCTTTAGTATTATCGTCGAAGAAGGTTATTATATTATTTCTTCTCTGCTTTATTTTTTTTTCGAAAATCAGATTTTCAATCAGATATTCAAGAAATAATATTCTCTAAAGACTTTTGTATTTTATAATATTAATATTTTAATTTATAGAGAAAACGAAAAAAGGAGAAAGCGAGAAATAATTTGAAGGCAGCTGAATATAAACGAAAACGATTAGAAAAATTAGAAGCTAAACAATCAAAAACGAAGAAAAAAAAATTGGCAACAATTGTGCAAAGGAAAGAAAAAAAACTTACTGTATTTATTTTTTACAATTCTATTTGATTTCAAATATAATTGTTTTTTCGATTTTTTAATTTTTATAATTTTTATAATTTATTTTTAGTTTTGTATTTTTTTTTAAGCGTGAAGCTTTGCTTGAAAGTTTACAACAATACCAACTTCCTCAATCTTTGAACAGTCTTTCTTCTACTGCTCATATGCAGGATAAGACGAAAAAAGCGGAAAGGTACAATGGTTAATTCATTTCTAATTGGAATTCGCTGTGAAAATCACCTCTTTCTACTATAAACCTTGCTCCTCGTAAATCTCATTGAATAAAGAACGCTAGTTTACCATTCTAACCTTATCTGTGTAGTATTTCTCAAAAGAGGTACAAATAGCTGCAATGAATGAGGTATAATTTAGTCAACCTATGGCCGATTCAAAATTTTGCATTAAATAGAACCCAGTGTGATTGATTGCGATGTTTTAAACATTGGTATGGCTTTATTATTCGTATTGTTCTTATTCTTTTTGTTAATTATTCCTAGGAAAAAGAGGTTTTCATATTAGTTTTTTCTCTCTTGTATTTTCTATTTAATTATTATCAGTTCTGAATGGTAGACTTCATGATTAAATTTTGAATAAATATTCAATATACTAAAATTTAGTATATTTATATACTAAAATATAAATATACTAAATATTCCAAAAATTTCAGGAATAGTCTGCCACAGTTTCCGAAAAAACTGAAGATTTTAGCAGGTCGAGATAAAAATACTTTGGAAAGCAAGCATGATAAACCACATATTCAAGAACATTATTATGAAACAGGTAGTGAAAGTGGTACAGAATCTGAAGGAAACGAGAAACTGGTAGATATTTATTTCAAAATAATTTTTGAAACCCATCACTAATCATGCATTATTTCTTAATTTCTATGTTAGAAGCGTTTTTGAAGGCACCTGATGGTTCTCTAATTCGAGCAGGCAATTTTTTTTATCGTTTTTTATTTTTTATTAATTTTTGTTTGTGGCCATTTTTTTGCTGTTGTAAAATAATCTAATTTAGGATGAATTGTCACCGAACGTCCCTGAGGCTTGTGCAGAGCAAGGTTTAATTCTTCCTGATCACACTAAAAGTTCTTCAGTGGGAAATGATTGCCATTTGAAAGGTATATTTATTTACCAAAGTTGATAAATAATGGGGTTTTGTCTCAAAATAATTGCTTCTTAAGGATCTTTGATGTGGCTGTCATTTAACCTTCAATTGTAATGATTGTTATTACAATTGGTATGGCTTTATTATTCGTATTGTTCTTATTCTTTTTGTTAATTATTCGTAGGAAAATGAGGTTTTCATATTAGTTTTTTTTTTTCTCCCTTATATTTTATATTCAATTATTATCAGTTCTGAATGGTAGACTTCATGATTAAATTTTAGGAAAGAAATGATTGTTCCAATTATTTCTAGTAAACTATTTTTTTTTAAATTTTGAATTAGCATAAAGAAGTTGAAAATCAAAATTATTTCAATATGCGGTTTATTATATTATATATTATTTTATATATATATATATATATTTATGTATATATTTTATATATATATATATATTATTTATTATTATTTTGGAGAATTTTATTTAGGAGAAGAGAAAAGGAAAATACCAGAAGGGAACGAAAAGATACTTCATGACGATTTTGAAAATATAGAAGAGCCTGGACAAAGTGAAGGAAATAAGAAAGAAATTATAAATGAAAAGATTGAGGCTTCAAAGAATTACTTGCAAAAAAGCGGAGCTTTTACTAAAGAAGTAATGCAGAGGAAATATGTTCCTGTTGAAAGAAGCGCAGAAGTATCTGCAAAAAGAGCCAAATTACCTATTTTCGCTGAAGAGCAATTTATTGTTGAAACAATTAATGACAATGTCGTAAGTTTTTTTCTTAAAAATCCTTTAGTCTTTTTATATTATCTTGCAGAATTCTATGCCAACTTTTCTATAAAAATTTGATGAACAATTTTAAAAAGTTCAAATTTTTATGCTTAATACTTTTTAATCTATTTTTATTGCGAAATTATTTTAGTCCATTATAATTTGTGGTGAAACTGGTTCGGGTAAAACTACACAATTGCCTCAGTTTTTGTATGAAGCGGGTTACACATCAAATAATCAAATGATCGGAATAACTGAACCTCGTCGAGTCGCTGCAATTAGTATGGCAAATCGTGTTGGCTTTGAAATGAATTTACCCAAAGCTGTTTCTTATCAGGTTTCTAATTTGATTTTTTTTTTCAACAATTTTATAAATTGTTGCGGTCGATTAATCAAATAACGCTTTTTTTAAAATTCAGATTCGATATGAAGGGACTCGTTCACCTGATACGCAGATTTTATTCATGACAGATGGTGTTTTGATGAAAGAGATCCAAAAGGATATAATGCTTTCGGCATATTCTGTGATAATTATTGGTTTAGTATCTTTTCTTTTATTTCTAAATAGTCTTCATTTCTAGTTTGTTTGGTTTTATTGGCTCTTAAGATGAAGCTCATTCGTCAAAGGGTTGTTTGAAAATCGAAACGCGGATAAGTCATCACCAATATCATTCACGTTCAATATATAGAATATGTTGTATTTGCGTTTTATGTTCAAATTTTTAGAATATCAAGATTTTCCAGTCTTTCAATTTTTTAATTTCTCGATCCTTTTTTTACTTTCGAAATTTCAAATCATTTCTTTGCTTCTTCAATTTTAAGATTATTTAGATGAAGCCCATGAACGATCAATGTATAGTGATGTTTTAATTGGTTTATTAAGCCGTATTGCTCCTCATCGTACGAAAATTGGGCTCCCTTTCAAGTTAATTATTATGAGTGCAACACTTCATTTAGAACATTTCACTCAGAAAAGGTTCTTAATTTAATCATTCTTAATTTTAGCCATCGAAAAAATGGCTAATTCTGGAAAATTCTTTCAATTTATTCAATTTTTGCCATTATTCATATTATTAATTTTTTAAATTAACTGAAAAGAAGAATTGGGATCTATTTTTTCTTTTCAAATATCTCATTCATTTTTATTTTCATTTTCAGTTTGTTTCCTTTGATATCTCCTCCAGTAATTCATATCGACTCGCGACAATATGCGGTAACTGTACATTTCGAACGACGTACTCCAAATGATTATTTGAATGCTTCATTTCGGAAAATATGCAAAATACATGAAAATCTACCAATGGGCACAATTTTGGTCTTTCTTAGCGGTCGACTTGAAGTAAGTTCATGTTTGCTTTCTCTATATGCCTTACAATTTATAACTTCAAGAAGTTATTTATAATTTCATAGTGTTCATTTTTTCGCTAATAAATAATTAATTTTAGGTCGAAACATTGCTGAAATGGCTTATTTCACGATATCCTATTAAGTAATTCTTGCGGTTTATTGCGAAATCTGCTATCTTTTATCAATTTTTAATGAAGAATTCATTAGTTCATATTTCAATATTTCATGTAAAATTTCTGTTTTTTAACATGTTAACGTATCGTTTTAGACATCGAGAAAGAAATCGGCGGAAGATAAATCATCGTGAATCGAATATGAAAACTTCACAGAATTTGGTCATACTAGACGAGATAGATGAAACAGATGAAAGAAATGTTGAACTTAACGAATTCGGTATTGCAGATACAGTCGACTTAGCATGTGAAATGGATTTAGAAATGGTACCAAATGAAATATTTATATTCAGTATAAAATATTTATGGATATTCGCGATTATTATTAGATTTTTGCTGGCTAATTATGGCCATCATTATGATTAAATTATGTTGCTTATATTCACGTTAAGAAATGTCGCTAATATACAGTTTATTTACCTATCCTTATTATCTTATTTTACCTATGCTATTAAGTGATTTTTGTGAATATTTGATTGAATTTCTATAGGTGTTGATTATTATTTACAGGTGGACGATATCATTAATAAGCCACCGCCGAAAGACATTCCACCATTATTTTGTTTACCTTTATTTTCTTTGCTTTCAAGTGAAAAGCAGAAAAGAATTTTTGAACCATCGCCTGAAGGATGCAGGTTAAGCATTTTTGTAATAAATATTAAATATTAGTTGATTTATTGACTTTTTTTATTTATTCATTCATTTTGAGGATTTTTTTTTTGCCATTGGTTTCCTGGTTTATTCCGCTTTGCGTTCATTTATGTACGGAGATAAGGAAGCTATTTCTGAATATTTTTTGCGGCATTACTATATGTTATAATTTTTTTTGTTTATTTTGAATATATTTTAGGATGTGTATAATTGCAACGAATGTTGCTGAAACATCTATTACTATCCCGGCAGTTCGTTATATAGTCGACAGCGGTCGTGAAAAAAGACGTATTTACGATCCAGTTACTGGAGTTTCTCAATTTATTGTTCATTGGATCTCACAAGCATCTGCTGAACAAAGGGCTGGGCGAGCTGGTCGAGTACAAGCTGGTCATGCATACAGGTCTTTTCATCGAATTATTTTCTAGATAATTGCCCATTTCCATTTACGCTGTTTGATATTCGTTTATATACAATTTTAATTTTTACATATTTTTTTAGGCTTTATTCATCGGCTTTATTTGCTGATATGGAAAAATTCAGTCCTCCAGAAATTCTGAATAAACCAGTGGATCAACTCGTACTTCATATGAAATCTATGAACATTGTTAAAGTGAACATTTTTCTTTAAAAATTAAACCCATGGTTTATTTTCTTTAATGATTAATTTATATGGGTGATTTTTTTCATCATTTTTCTTTTAATGAAAGTTGTGAATATATAATGTGAATATTCAAACAATTATTTGCTTTTATTTTCAATTTTTTAAATTTTTTATTTTTTAAATAAAATTTTTTTTTCCTTTCTACCAGATTGCCAATTTCCCTTTTCCGACTCGACCAGATCAAGATGCTTTGGAAGAGAGCGAAAAACGATTAATATTGCTTGGAGCGTTAGAAGTTGGCATACAAAATAATTTGGTTTGTTCGTTTATCTTTATTTAATTATTCTAAAAGTGAAATCATCATATGAAAACTAGATATACTAATTTTTTAAATTTAGAAGGAGGCACGGATCACTCCTTTAGGACGAACTCTTTCAATGTTTCCTCTAGCTCCTAAATATGCAAAAATTTTGGTTATGGCCAATCAGAATGGTCTACTTCCTTATGCTTGCCTTTTGGTGGCGATTCTTTCCGTGCGTGAGCCTTTGATTTCAGTCTATTCACTGAGGTTTTTAATTTTATTTAAATTTGAAATAATTTTTTTTCTGTTTTATCGATTTTTTATTTTTATTCAGGTTTTATTTCATCTGAATTTCCTCACGTATTCTTCAGAGGAGAAACGAATGATGAAACCCAATCGAAAATGTATGATGCCTTAAAGCAAAGGCGTGACTGGTGTGGTCAAGGGCAGTCGCGAAGATTTGGAGATCTGAGCGTTATGCTGAAGGCAATTTTGACCGTCTTTTCAGAGCAGGTTAATTAGTTTGATTTATAACTAAGTCTTGATCATTTCAGAATCTTAGCTTATTTTAATTGGAATTTGCCACTTTTTTTAATTTTTAATTTCATTTTTATTTTAATATCATTTTTTTTAAATATCATTTTCTTATTTTTTTGTTTATTATATATTATTTATTTATATTTTTATTTATTATATATTATATTATTTTCTTATTCTTATTTTCCACAAATATTTTTCTCAGTTGATTTGAAAATTGTTCCATGGTCTCATTTAAAAAAAGTAGGACATTATAGAACAATAATTTTTGATTTCTTCCATTTTGCTTATTTTCTTAGCATTCTGAAGAAGTTTGTCAACGGCGTGGTGTGCGGTTCAAAGCTTTAACTGAAATAATAAAGCTTTATCAGCAGTTAATGAATCTTATCAGTTCATCTTGTGTTGTAACCGATTCTTTGGCCGTCGATTTTGCTCTTAATTCTCCAAGTGATGAACAATTTCGGATGCTTCGGTATTTTACTATTATAAATTTATTTATTTTATTTTTTTTGCGAATATTTGAGAATTTATTTAAATATCATTTATAAACAATTTATTTTCTTCTCAGGCAAATAGTTATTGCTTCATTAACTGACAATATAGTTCGTCGGATCGACAGATCTACTACAACCGAAGAAATTCCAAAAGGAGCTTATGAATCTCAAAGGCTGAAGGTTTATTTAAATTCATTTATAAAGAATTTATTTTCTTCTCAGGCAAATAGTTATTGCTTCATTAACTGACAATATAATTCGTCGTATCGACAGATCTTTTTCATTTCATTTTTTTCATATTAAATGATTTTTTATTAAATGATTTTTTAAATATTAATTTTGTAATATTATTTATAGGAATATCTTTTCATCGATCCCAGCTCAGTACTATTCAAAGAAGAACCTGAATGGATCCTTTATCAAGAGATAATTGAGGTTTATTCTGAATTTTTGAAGTTATTAAATATTTAATATTCCACTATAAATCGTGAATGCAAAGCAAATTTTTGCCCTTCTGAAACCTCAGTTATTTTTTTTATACTATTTTTGAGTACCTTACCATGTTTCACTTATAGATTAATGGTAAAAAATGTATGCAGAATGTAATCACTGTTGAACCAGATTGGCTTGCTCGACTGGCTCTTACTTATTGCGACTTTGTTGAAATAAAAAACGCTGATCCCAAGTATTTTATTAATCTTCCTTAATATTCTTCGATTTCTAAAATTTTGTCGATTTTTTGATTTTAAAATCAAATTTTAAAATCATATTTTATATGCGATGATTATTATTTTGGCTTAAATTTTCAGATACGATCCCGCATCTGATTCTATATTGATTACTCAGAATGCATTTTTCGGAAGTCGAAGATGGTCTTTGGGTGTCGTTAATCGCCCTATACCCAGAGATATAAATTTATATCGTCAGTTCGCCAGATTTTTCCTTGATGGATCAGTTTGCCCAAAACTAGCTGAATATTCAACAAAACTGTTAAGTTCACCAATGGCAATGGTAAGACCCTGGGCTAAACTGCAAGCAAGAACTGAGAATCTATTAAACGCTTTGATCGAATATGAAGTAAGAGTTACTTTTATTCAAAAAAAAGCTAATAATTCTTATCCTCTTTAGGTCATAGTTATCCTCAATCTCGGATCCTTTACCAGAGGCTTGAGAGACTGAGGGTTTTACGCATTGTCTGATTATTCCTAAAATCTGCTGAAGCCACTTTTCTAGTTTAAGGGCCAAATATATTATGTTTAAAATATATATATATTATCTATATATATATATTTATAATTGTTCTACTACAAATTTTGTCGACATATTTATTTGTTTGTAACATTTTTTAAATCTTAAATCTTAGATTAAATTTTTTAAATTTTAACCATTTTAGTTAATGCTTTTTTTCATAGTCAATTCGTTTTCAGGTAAGTGATCGTAAAAGTTTGATTGAAATGTGGAAATCAAAACATGAATACTTATTAGATGAATTTTTGGAGTGGATTCCTCGTTCATTACATGATGCTATTCAATTATTATGGCCTCCATTATAAAAATATATAAGTTGATCTCAGAAAGTTACTTATCAAAATTTTATGAAGTGAAACATTTAGCAAAAAGTTTTGCACATGTAAATATTGTTGTAGATATTTTTTCCTTTTGATCCAGAGAATTCTAACTTGTTCTGGCTACATTCTCAGGAGTATGTGTCGTTATTCCGGAACAGATTTCTAATCTTCAAAATAATTCTATACCGGCCTCGAATTAATAGAGCATTTTCTGTGAGCAGCGCGTTGGCATTCTGATTGCAAGTAACGTTAACTGATAACGTTAGGAAGCATATAGAGATACTGCAAAAAAGATAAGATTAATATTAAGCTATGCAAGAGGTTAAGCTATGCATTTTAAGAAAGTGAACCAACTGCTTGGTTGAATTATATCAAAATTGCTAAAATAATATTGCTGATATTTTGCAAGGGATAGAAATAAGTAGTTAAAATTATAAATGATAAATTCTGGTATTTATATTTGTTATAGTTTATATTATAGTTTTCATATAGTTTTTTTTAGTAATTTTTTTGTTTTTGCAGATTTTCTACAACAATATTATGTAAACTGTTAAAAAATAAAATGTTTTTTTCTGCAAAATATTTGATTTCGCAAGCTTACCAATGCAAATCGTATTCTCTTTGTCTTTTGTACTAATTACCCCTTAGTGATTACGATTTGCGCTGGTTTTCATCGTTTTTTTCTTATTAAATCGTATGAACTTTGCTGAAAATTTTGCTTCAGAGTATATTCACAGTATTCTTGATTTCATTTTAGCAGGTATTCTATGAGAGGTGAGAGAGGTCGACGCGAAATACAGGTCTCTTATCCTTTTGCTTGATATATTGCGATAATGAAATTCTTTTAGGAAATCCAATTTTCATGGAACCTAAACGAGTTAATCGAATTGATTTAAAGATATCATCTGAAAATGCAGTGAAATTTGATTCATTTTCCTTTATCTCTCTAAGGAAGCAAATTTATGATAGCGAAAAGGAAAAAATTATTAGCGATTGGTCTAAGGGAAATATGCTGTTCGAAAGCATTCTACAGTCATCTTTTGAAACATTTTGGTCAACCATATTGCATTCGAATTTTTTCGATATAATTGATTCCTATCTTGAAAGCTATCCGAGGTATGATTTTATTCAATCGTACAAAGTTTGCCTCATAAATTATTATATAAAACAAGAGGGTGGAAGGGGGGGGGGGGGGGGGGGGGGGGGGGGGGAGGTTCGAGGTGGTTATGATTTGGCTCTGAAGGCATTAGATGAGAAGCAGTTCAGCGCAGAACTACGAATTTTGCTTTTTTTTGCTACATATTTTGAATATCATTATTGTATCGTCTCAGTGCCCTATTTATTTCATTTTAGGCCTTGGGAATATGAAAAATTAAACAACCATTTGAATAGCGATTTAAAATTATGCTCAGTTGTTGAAGAAATTTATCGCAAAGGATTATTACTAGTTGTTCGATTATTAATTTATCAAGAAAACGAGGTGATTACATTTATCATTGTCAATTTCTCAATTTATAATATATTTATGGAAATACTTATTTTTACAAGAATTTCAGGAATTATTTCTTGATAGAGATTTTCATTCAGAATTGCTATTTAACAGCCAATTATTATCTCTTGATAGGCTTTTAAAGGTTGTAGCCATTTATTCTTCGTCCAATCGCGATATGATTAATTGGATTATTAAAAAATGTTTGGAAAGTTGTCCACAGTTAGGAGATGAACTATTAAATCAAGCATACGTCAGTGAACTGGTAAATTAGTTTTTTTGCTTTTTTTGCCTACTTTCTTAGCTTTCTTATTAAATTTAAATTTGCTTGATAATTTAGTTTTATTATTTAGGAAATGGAAAATGTGGTAAGTGGATGTGAACAAATCATGAATATAAGTCAACCAGTTGATTCGACCCAAAATTTGGATAGCCAAATAATTTTTTTTTTGGAGACTGGAATTGAAATTCTTGGAAATTTATCCGCGCTAATATCATTTCTTCCTCATATATCATTCGAATGTATTTCAAATTGTTTTTTGAGGTCAATTTTCAAGTTTAATTCAATTAGCCTCATAAAGATGTAATGAATTTCATAAAAATTTATTTTGCATCGATGGCAAATTTTCGAGAATCCATGCTTTTTTCCAAAAAATCGCAAAACTTTTGTGATTTTGTGATATCTAAACTGCTATTTTTATTATTTTTTATGTTATATGTATTATTTTTTGTTTTTATTCATATATATACTAATAAATAAATCACGTCATTCTTTTTTTTCAGTTTACCCAGCATTATCGAACGCTTGGATGCATGTTTCTCATTGTCAAAATGTACTTCTGTTATCAAGAATATGCCGATGATTCGGTAAAAAAATTAAAATAATACAAATAATAATAAAAAATAACTGTTTTTAAAAATTATTAGAAGAATTCCAATCCATTATTATAGAATATCGACTTAAAATTCTTTCGATTAATTCTAGGAAATATTTCATTCAATTTGAACTAATATTATAGGTGATAAAATTTTTAAAAATATAAATTAGTTTTGAGTTTTTAAAGTAATATTTGTCACTATTATCACAACTATTTAATAATTTAAAACCACTAAATCAATTAAGATCTGTCTTGCAGGAAAATAATTTCGTTAATGGACATTATCAGATATCATGCAATAGAACTCTTTCATTCTTTCCTCTCCATTCATCCAAAAGTGGACAATCTTGCCTGTGTTATTCGTAAAACTTTTGCCTCTGAACGGTAAATAAATTTTTTTAAAATAGTTTTGCTCGTTGTTTTTCGTTATTGGAATTAAATTGGAAAATTTTATTTTATTTGTAAACTTTACAAAAATAAAAAATCAAAGATAAAAAGTTAAATTTAAAATATTTATTTCAATTAAACTTAATAAATAATGAATAATAATAATGAAATATAAAGCAAATATTTATTATTAAATGTCAGGAATTTCATTTAAGTATTTAATTATTCATATCAACGTTTGAATGATTATTCTTAATTTAATATACTTTTTTTTAGTTTTATTTTTTATTTCAATCAACTTTATCCTTTAAATGTGATTTTGGATGGACTCTACGAAAGTGGTATTTATAAAGATTGTGACATTCGTGCTATGAATATTTTATTGAATGATATAAGTCTGCGTCAAATTAATAATATTTCTGAAGAATATAGGAATAATGGAATGTTCATTGTGGGTTCTTTATTAATTTTTTTATTTCATTTAGTATTTTGAGAATAATTCAAATTTTGTTTCAAATATTGAATATTGAGAAAAGATTTACGCTATTTCTTAATTATTATTTTTAATTAATTTTAATTTTTTAGTTGAATCAGTTGTTTTTATTGTTTATTTTAAATATTTTATTTTAAATTTTTAAATATTTAAATTAAAATTAAATATTTAAGAATTTGGGACGAACGAATGACGAGAAAATTCAGTCGATTATGAATAATTTAGTGGATATGTTACCTCATTATTCCATTCATTTTATTCACGTTAGTTTCATCATCTTTCGCTTATTAGACTTTATATAAATCAATTATCTATTATTTATTTATTTGTTTGTTTTTACAACAAAATTCATCAATAAATCATCGCTGTTAATATTGATAATCCATCTATTTATCATTGAATTATTATTATTGAAATCATCGAAGGGCCAAGAATTTGAAAAAATAATTTTTTGAGTCATTTGTAATTTAGTTTTTATAGTAATAAATAAAATTAATGCATAAAATTATATATTTCTTTATACGAGGCTTTTTTTTCAGTTATGTTTACGGCATTTTGGCTACAATGAAGAAGAAACAACAAACGCACTTTTATGCACAGATTTATTGCCACTTGATTTAAGAGCATTGTTAAATGTTGAGTTTAATCAAGAAAAACTAACGACTATATCGGCAAAGAATATTGTTTACTTTTCGGGTTATTCAGTTATTCAGTTGCTTTTTTATTTTTTTTAGATGATCGCTCGAAATAAATAAATAATTATTTTTATTTATTAATAATTATTTTAAATTATTTTTTAAATTTTTTATTTAAAGAGATTATTTAAATGAGAAAGTCTGAATTTATTCTTATATGCTTGGGATGACTTTTTCTTTTAATGGAAATAAATCTCTAAAAAATAATTTTTAATTCTTACAAATCATAATTTATTTTAAAAAAAAAGTATTTTATAGTTTTTATGACTTATAATAAACAATAAAAATTATAATAAATGAATAATAATAATAATGAATAATAATAAAAATTAAAAATTGTAATAAGTAAATAATAATAATGCATTCACTTTGAACTGCGCTATTTTATAATTCCTCTTTATTTCCTGTTTAAATTGCTAATTTTTGTTATATTTTCTTTTTTTTTTATCTCTAATTTATTATTTTATCCGTTGTTATTAATACAAGCATATAGCGCTTACCGCCGAACTTGGTTGGTTTTCAGTAAATAAATAAATAAATAATAATATTTCCCTGAAATATTTTTAAAAATATTTGAAGTAATGAAGATGAGTGAAATATCATTTTTCCTTATTCCATTTGCCACTTCGTGAATATTTCATTAATTTTGCATTGATATTGATATATTCTTTTCTTCTTTACTAAAAATATTTTAAACATCGAGTTTCTCTCGATAAACTCTCTCGAATTTCTATTTTAATTCTAACAGTTTTTCTATCGATCTTGTTATATTTATCCCTATATATATATATATATATTTATACAATATACACTTGGAATTGTGACTACTAAACTGGAAAGGTCGTTTCAGCAGATTGCAGCAATTACATCGGAGTTCTCTATCCAGAAGAGCGCACTGCTAGGAGCAGCTAAGATGCTGCGCAGAACCTTTAGTCCCCAAGCCTCTGGTAAAGGACCTGAGATTGAAAATGATCCTTACCACTTTACCAGCGCTGAAAGAGCGAAGATTTTTTTTATTATATATCCATATGATATATATATAACATTTTTCAATTAATATAGTATTTTTATATTTATTTAATTATTTAATTATTATAATTTGCTCAAATAACTCATCTAAAGACCTTTCCATGAATCTTCCTCGTAGGGCTGCAATGATGAAAGGATTTTCGATGGAACCAGCCTGATCTAAAGTTATGTGCGGTACTTTTAGAGATTAGAGATGTAATAATATGAAAAATATTAAAATTATTAGATATATCGTATTCTTTCCTGTTTCATTTCGTTTGATTAATTTATATATTACATTAAGAAGATGAAATTCAGAAATCTTATGTTAATGCGCTATAGAAAACAATCTTCCTTGTTAATTATCGTACTCCTTAGTTGTGATGTTCGCTATTTGTCATTTGCCATAATTACTATTTATCTACCATTATAAAATATTAATGAGATATATTGGCAATGGATTTCGTTGAAAATCTATCAATGATTGCGAGAAAAATTAAGTACGCTTCTTGTCATAGGAAAAAGAAGTTTTTATTTCCTATGAAACCAATGATAAATTTTTATCAGTCATTATTTTTTGCAAAAATTTTTCAAAATAATAATCTGAAGAAAAAAAAAAGAAAAAGGATTGCAAGAATTTAGGGATAAGCGCATTATCAATAAATTTTTATTTTTTATTTTTTCAAGTTTATTAAAAATATTTTAAAAAATTTTTCTTTAATATTATTTAAAAGAAATTTCAGATTCCAATGATTGTAATTCAAATGAAAATCTTATATTGTCGCCTTCGCCACAAAATGCTTCAAATTCAAAATCCAATTGTTTGCATAAAGTAACTGATAACGATAATGGTAATGAATTGTCAGATTTAGAAACTATTTGGAATCGCCTTGAAAGAATTGCTTTAATTTGTACAAATTCATCGACAAATGCTTGCCCTGTAAGCCGTGAAAGCGATTCAACTTGTAAGGAAACGTTTTTGAAAAGGTTTTTATAGAAAATTTCTAATAAATTTTAATATGAAGAATAAGAATTTTAATTTTATTTTATGTTTCCCCAAACTATTGGATTTCATTCAATTTTATGTTCATTTACTTCCTTTGAGATATTTTTCCTTCATTTTGAGAAAAATTTAAGGGGAATTTAACTGAATTTAGCATTTTTAGCCGTACTCATGCAAAAGAACTTTTTTTATCTTTTCATTTCGCCAAGTAAATTTTTGAATTATCGTTTAGAAACCGTTTGGAAGTGTTTCACATTCCCGAACGAGAAAAAATTGCTTTACGACCAACTTATCAAAAATATCGTTATGTTGAGGAGGCGAGCTCGGAAAATAATGATTGTTATGATGATGAATATGATGATGCATTTGGCGATCGACAACTTTATAATACTATTGATTTTGGGTACCGATATTGCATTGAATCCCAGATGTCGAGATTTTCTTGAATTAAGATTACTTTAGGTGATAAGGATAGGTGATAAAGCATTGATTGAAATAAATATCTATTCCTCAATTTCACTCATTTGATCTCTCTATTGAGAATTGAAAATTATCAGGGTATTTATTGAATGAAATTCTTTTATTCTCGACTATATTATATTTTATTTCTAGCGATGACGATGGCCTTCAAAAGGAAGAAATTTTAGACGGCGTGGAACCGAATCGTAATCATTTAATAGAAGAAAGTGATAATGACATTTTTTCTGATGATGATCAGCAAGAAAACGTAGGCGAAGGAACAAAATCGAACAAAAAAAAAAGCAAATTTATAATGCCCATAGTAGAAAAAAATGTACCTACATCTCATATTGCAGCGAATATTGGTGATAATAATAAGAATGACAAGGGTGATTTGAATAAAAAAGAAAACAAAGCAAGTGGATCTAAAAGATTTCCTGCAGATACCAAAAATTCTTCGTACACCGGTGGGCGACAACGTCAACTCAAAGAAAGGCACAAAGGTTCCAGCAGACGTTATCTTGCCGATAAGAAAAGAGGTTCTGGAATGTTTTAACTTTTTTTGTACTTTAATAATTTATTTTTTTCCGCATAAATTATATATTTCTCGAGAATAATAATTATTATTCAATTCAATACAATATAATGAAAATTAATATATCAATTAAAATTTCATTATTTTCATTATTGAATGCAATTTATATGCGAATAATTACGAATAAAATAAATTTGTATGTGACAAATATTGAAAATTATTGGTACTTTTAAAGTACCAATAATTAAATAATAAAATACAAAATGCGAATATTTTTGTAAACAGTTCGAGGAAAGGAAAATTCAACAAATGACAAGTAACACTTTGATTTTGTTGATTGATTGATGAATTACCCAAATTCAGAAGGTTGTTGAATGCAGCAATTTTTGAATGAAATATTTTAGTCTAATTTAGTGTAATAAGCTATTCAGGAGATATTTAAGATATAATCTTGTTGTAATCACCTTAAAACCAAAGGAATTTTCTACGTCTTTTTGAGCTCGCAATAGATTATATTATCATTAATAATAATATGTTAGTCGTTACACTAATAAGGAGTTGTGGAGTTTTCTTCGAGAATGCTGATAAATCCTTTAAATTTATTTCAAGTATCAACTATTTCTATTTAGAGTTAGCAATTTTAATCAATTACGTATGCTTCTTTTCGATAAAAACAAATTTGATAAATGATTTGAATTTATATTAATTTATAACTCATTAAATATGCCTAAAAATCAAAAGAATAGCGATTTTCTATGCAAAATAATTGCAACAAAAAATTTCAGCAAATCGGTTGAAATCGTTCACGTTTTAACCAAAGAAAAAATCAGTAAAAGTTTCATGTTTTATCAACTTTAAAACATTCTTTTAAATATTCGAATCTTTAAAATTTTCAAATTTATTCAATTTCTATCCTTTGTGATAATTCGGCTTTTCGTAATCTTTGCTGATCGCACAATAATCGAAGCATTAAATAATTTTAATAAAGAAAATTACTACAAAAATTTTCATCGCTATAATCGAGAACGAGTAATTTTTTTACGATAAAAACAATAATAATAGAAATAATAATAACAACAATAAAAATTATTTAATGAAAATTTTTTACGAATAAACGATACAAATTTTCAAAAAATTTTTCTTATTTTTCAAAATGGATTTTCTAAAAATAGAAAAGGAAGGAAAAAATTTGACATTTTATGAAATAAAGGCAACAAAATTCATTGAATGGATTCGATTTATCGGCAAAAAAAAAATCAACTTAAAAACAAAACTAAATTACTAAAATCGTTAAGTAACTTAAGTAATTACTGCGAAGAGTAAGTAATTAATTAACAATAATACGATTACCATTTCGATGGGAAAAAAAATCTGCTTAAATTATATTATCGTTTTACCAACATATACAATAAATAATTTAACTATGAGCCATAATAATAAAAATAATAATAATTTATAATAAAAATAAAAAAAAGAGAAAAAATCAAAAAAATTCAATCAATATATCGAGAATTGAATGGTGAACTTTTAATATTATTAGTTCCTATAAATCGCCTTTCGGGTAGATTTTGATGGCGACATCTACAAAAATTCAGGCATTTGTGTACGGTAGACTCGCATGATTACGATAATGGAATGTACTGCAATTAGCGTTATTGGCGACAAAGCTACGAAATAACAATTAGCATATATACATGCAAAAATAAAAAAAAATGATATGCATTTAGTTGTTGTTGCAAAAAAAGAATTATAAGGAAGGAGGAAAACGATAAGGAAACGAACACGATGCATCGTTTTGATTATCGAATTTACGGAAATTTATAGGCTTTTTCCTTTACCCCCCCCCCACCCTCCCTCCCTTTCCTTCTAGCCATTTCTTCTTTATTAGAGATAAGAATAAGATGAAGGAAAAAGATGAACTTGAAATTTATTTCAGTGCACTAGCGATAAAGCCCATTACTCAATTGACTGCTAGGGATTCATTTTTGTTCCTTCAAGTGATTTCTTTGCGAAAAAAAAAGCCATTCGAAGCCATTCGTAAATAATAAAGCGTGCATATTATAAGCGTGATACTCGCGAAATACTATTTGTGCATGTGCCATGCACATTTACATATTTTATGAAAGCAAAGGCACTTCTATTATGAGCTGTACGCCAAATTTAAAGAAAGCATTTCTATAAGTTTATAGTGAAATTCTTTAAAGAAAATTTATCGAAAACGAAACCTCTTTTGCTTTTGTCTTTGATTGCAGAACCATACTCGTACAACATTTTTCTTAAGATCAAGCTTATCAGCTATTGCTGAAATTCGTTCACCGCTTGGTCGAGGTTGTTGACTGAAACTATTTTATATGATTGGATTGCCATTCAGAATTTTTTTCGCTTAAGAGCTGCTTCACTATAACTGGTTAAACTCAGTCTCCGCTGATTTGTCACACCCAGACAAATACTCCATAGTGATAGAAGCACGAGTGAGTTGTCAGATTACCCAGATTTCTGGAAAGGTTTGCTCCTGCCAGAAGTTAAAGCATCAGCGCTCTGAATTGAATAGCACCCACCGAGCCATCTATTCTCCTCAGAATACAGGATTGCTCAGAATATTATATTATTTAGAAAATTAAGTAATTTTTAATGATAATTCTTAAAAATTTATCTACCGAACGTTATGAATAAATTTATAAAATTTTTAAAATTAAAATAAAAAAATTTTTTTAAAGAAAATATCTGTTTAACTTTGTAAATAAAATTCAAAATTTCGATTTATCATAATTGCATAAATTAAGTAATTGGAACTGAAAAAATTTGGAAGCACTAGCCGAAAATAATCTTCGAGAAGTCTTTTTTCTGGTGCAGCAATAGATGTTCGCTTTCGTTTTTTATCGGTGTTCGGCAATATTCCTTGACTATCGCCAACCACATCTTTTGATTTTGTTGCTTCTTCTGCCTTAATTTTCCATTAATTTACAAAAATAAAGATTTTCTATTGAGAAAGAGTGAAAATTTTGAGTTAGAAATGAGAGATCGGAAAGAAATTCAGCATTTTATAATTTTCTACAGCTTCTGTCGATTTATAAATACACTGAGAAACATTGAAAAGCCATGAAAGAAATATAGAAAAGTGATAAGAAATGATAAAAAAACTTTAATATTTAATTTTTTTCTAGTCACCCATAAAATGCAATAGGCTATTTATATTTCATTTCATTTCATTCCTCATTTAAAATAAAACAGCTTTGGTGATAAGAATTAATATTTAAATAAGTGTGATGCATTAAGCCACAAAACATTATTTTTATATTCAATTTACTGTCATTTTAAAAAAAAAGTTTTTTTCATGGAATCATACGAGGCAATAATTTCTTTTTTATATGGAAAATTTGACATATTTGTTATTTGATAAATGAGAGAACTATTCTTTTTAAAATGAATGATTGAAATCTCTCATCAAAAACATGAAATTTTTTTCAAAATAAATTCTATAAGATTTATAATTTTATAATATAATATAATTTTTTATAAAATAATATATTTTATAAAATAAAAAAAGGAAAACTAATAAATAATAAAAAAATATAATTGTTGGCAGTGTGGTTAAAAAAACGACCTCTGCAGAGTTCAATTTGTTCAAAGTTATATGAATTATTTTGTAATTATTTTTTATTATAATAATAAATATTATTAAAATTAATTTCAGGCCAAACAATATTGATAAATTGGAAAATAAAAAATTGAAAAATTATTGGCATGAATTTTCTTTTTAAATGCAAGCTAAATGATTAGCGTGTTGAATGAATATGATGGGCCGAAATAACGAATAACCTACATTTTTATTTAAAATGGAAGGATCTTGGTAGATTAGCTTCTTTCTATAAAAAACAATGGTTGAAGAATAGTGGTACTACGACTATAACTCTGGTAATTGCAAGAATTCTCATGCGAAAGCCAGCAAAAAACTAGTCAAACCAAACCAATGAAGAACAGAATGTTTATAAAAAAAAAGCGATACCAATAAAAAGCATTTAGCAACTTCCTTGGCAGATTTTAATGGCATAGATCTTGAAGTATAAAAGCTCTAAAAATTTCTTTCTTTCATTAAAAAAAAAAAAAATGAAGGAACCTTTTCAAGCCAAGAATGTAGAATTGGTTTGAGTGCGACCATATTATTATGTGATAATGTTAAACTTTCAAATCGACATATCGTAGATTGGCTCAACGACCCAACACCTGGCATTTTTAGATGAGCAAGCGCTTTTCCGACATCAGCTTGAGTCACACCTAATTTAATCCTTCTTTGCTTAAAATGTTCAGCAAATCGCTCCAACTCACGAGGATCTGTATCCAGTTCTACAAATTTCTGATTAGTGATTAATGATTATTTATTTTAATACTAAACAAATTGCGCCAATTATTTTTGTTGTAAAAATTTTCATTTGTTAATATTATTATTTTAATATTATTATTTTAATAATATTTTTGTCATTGGTACCATCATTGTTATTATTTTTATCATGATCATTATCAAAGTCTTCGTTAATTTATGAATGTGCAAAAATTGGTTATATTACATTCAAAACCTCATTTAATAATATATTTCTCTTTATAAAAACATTTAATCCTCTAAGAAGTAATTGAATCAATACAAAGGTAAAGTTAAATACTAACCGCTAGCTGGTGCTGTTAATGGATATCGAGGTAGAGATGGAGCTGTTGAAGATGCAACTACAGCAGTTGCTGTTGCAAATGGAGTAGGCATAGGATATTGTGGAAATTGTGCTGTTGGATAGTGCTGCATTGCCATAACTTGCTGAAACTGCTGCTAACGGGGTCACTACTGTTTCTTTTAATTATAAATTTTTTTTATTCAGCCTTACAACCGATTCTAGAAAAATTACTTGTAGCGATGTCATCGAATCTGGAGCATGATTTATTGATGAATCAATAATCGATGATGTTTGAGCAATTGTTGAAGGATCGAAATCAGCAGATGATGATGGAAGGTGTGGACCTGTTGAGTGATAGCTCCTAAAATATTAATTTTTATTAGTTTACGTTTTATTCGATGCATTCATAGTCTTTATTCGGCATATTCGTCGGCTCGCTATCGACCACCATTAGCTTACCTCTCTTTTTGGAATTATAAAGTATTTAGTTGAGGAAATGGTCGACAGAATATCGCTAAATTTTAAAGGAATGCTAGGTTCCATTTTTTAGGTTTCTTGATATGCTCGAATCTAATATTAGTAATTTTTAAGAAATTTCACCGAGTTTGACTGAAAATAAGAGACTAACGAGAACATATCGGCAGATCGTAACATACCACCAGTAACCATATTGACATTTTTCACATCCATTTCTGCTAAAGCTGCAGCTTGTGCAGCTCGCGCTTGCAGAATAGGATCATCAAAAGTCCCAAATATTGAATTTGTGGGATAATTCTGCAAGGTTGATACTCAATTTTATTGATCTTTTTATTCACTGGATTTCCAAACAAATCAGTTTATTTGTCAAATTTAAATTCTTTAAATTCTTAAATTAAATTTGTTTAAAATTTTTTAAAACCATTCTTCTCCTATTGAAAATGAAAATTTTCATATTTTTTCGTTATATCACCAGCAGTAATTTAATTTTTTGGTTTTATTTACAGTCATTTTTTTTACTTTTTATAAGAAACATATGAATTTGAATACATAAAAAACATAAAAATTGAGGAATTTCATAAATTTATTCATGAATTATTGTGATATATTTATTTTATTACTATTTGAAAGTGATAAAAGTGATACGAAAAGTCATAAAAAGTTCATTAAATTAATAAATTAAACAATTAAGGATTTACTAAAGATAATAGTTAAAGAAAATTATGAAAAAAATTTTGAGAATTCGTTTAAAATTTTTTTTTTAAATATAAAATTTTATGGAAAACTCTTCCACAAATTGTTCTCATTTCATGGAATTTTTTGAATTTAATTCGAATTTAAAAGAATAAATTTGAAAGTAAAACGAATTGAAAACTTGAAATCTTTAAGTTTTTCACTTTTTTAAAATTTCTTTGAATTTTTTGAAGCGTTTTTTTCTCAAATTTTAAAAGGAGCAATTTTGATGATAAAGGTTCGAAAATCGCCAATTCACTGAAAACTTATTAGAGATCCCTAGCAAAATTTGTTATTATCGTATTTTAAGATTTTTAGTTTTCAACATTATCGATACTTTTTTATCGTATGAATAATTCTTTTGAATGGACTCAACCATGGAATACTAATGAATTAGGTCGAATGGAAATTAAAAGTCTAAAAGCGAATATACTTTGAACAAAATTAATGCAAAACGGTCATTTTTACTGACGATTAACTTTAAACGAGAAACAACGAAAACTGTTTTTCTCATAAAAAATTTATTACGAATTTATTAAATAATTTTTTGCTAATATTACTTAAAATTACTTTGTTTCTATCTTAAATAGCATTAGAATATTTATTTATTATAGATTATGCAAAAATTCATTGAAAAATGTCTTTAAAATAAAAAAAGAATCTAAAAAATTTTATATTATGTTTAGAAATAAAATTTTATAAAAATTTTATCGTTTAAAAATTTTATAATAAAAAGAAAAATAAAAAATTTGAGGTTTTATTATAAATTATGTCATCTTTTGTAATTAAAATTTTGTACAATTTTGCCATAATTTGAGGCATTTTTTAGCCAAATTTGATTAATCTAATTTATTATTTGTTAAAATTATTTAAAACTAATTTACGAGACTTTTCATAATTTTATAGTTTTTGTTCATTTATTTTAATTTTATAATCTTATAAATATGAAAAAATAGCGAAGAGGCGAGGAAACCAAGTTGAAATATTTATTTTCATGGAAGCGTCCTAAAGTTAGTACGAAGATTACTGTACAATTTAGAATAAATGCTTATGCTTTATGAAAAAAGTGGGATATGCTTGTTAATAAAAATAGATGTATTTTATTCAACGAAAAGGAAACTTATCGATCTTGGGAAGAAAAAATTTTTCCTCGATTTTCCCACTGATACTCCAATTTTTATTGATCGTATTCTTATTTACTTAGTTTGGCTATTTCAATAAGTAGGCGCGAATAACCGAACGATTCAACAGTTGAACCTATCTTTTTGTTGAAAAAACTTTAAGGCATAAGCGAATTGTTTCCAGATTCTTTGCAAACTTTTTTAATATTCGATCCTAACAGTTTTAATAACATTGCACCACTCATCCTTTTAATACCACTAAACGCGTTCGCCGAATCGAAACATAAAAAAAATTACAGCCAACAAAGGACGATTTGCACGAATTCAAAGTATAGTAAGTAACTCATTTTATGAAACAACTGAAGTTATATGATCTAATTGAAATTAAATCCTATCTTTTCACGTCTTTTATTCGATGATAATAAAATTTTCATGAAAAAATTTTTAAGTCGATGCCATAATTGATTAAAGACTGCATCGTTTTGAAGCAAAAGCTTGCATAAGGCTAGCATAATTCAGTATATTATATTATAAACTTACATTATTCAGTATATTCAGTATATTATACTGGCCCAACATGAATAATATTTTAAGCCTAAGTTTTTTCATGGTAGGAAGTTTGTAAATCGATCTCAGCCTAAGAAGTACTTAAATCAACACAACAATGCAATTTAAAATGCTTGAACATCCGAAAAGATATCAGTGAAACGTCTAGTAAAATGGATTTTTCATTCGCCTTAGAAACTTCCTGTAAAACCACAATTATATTGCGGAACTTTAAGAAAATAAAATTAAATCATGAAATTGAAAATGCTTGAAATCGATTATAAAATTGTGATTTTTTTTAAACTAATAAATGTGATAATATGATTTTAAAAAAAAAAAAACTCTTAGAAATGAGAAATGAATTTTTCGATTATTAATAAATTGACGAAAAATCATTTTGCCATTTAATAAAAGAGTCGTAAATTTAATATTTATCACAAAACTAAATTATTTACAACAGAAATTAATTATTAAAATAATAAACAAATTCAAACAAACATTGAGTAATAATTTATTTATTATTTAAAACTAATATTTTCGGATTTATCACAAATTATTATAGTAATAATTCATAATAATAATTATCATTATTTATGATTAGAATAAATAAATGAATTATTAAGTGGATATTAAGATGAACGAAATGAATATTTATTGAACAAATTAATTAATTAAAAAATTTATAGACTAAGAATTTTGAAAAATATAGAATGAAAAAATTATTAAATGGCTAAAATGAAAAATAAATAAAGAAAAAAAAGAAAACGTACAGGCTGCATGCGAGTACGATATGTAGTAGTAGGTGAATAACAACCCGTAGTGATTTGATTTAAACCCGGATATATTCTTTGAGGTGCTTGCATATTATACCCTTCCTAATAGGACACTGTATGATAAATATATATATGACACCTTTAGTTACTCCTCTATCTTCTTCTCAAATAATAACGTAGTCGGCTAGGCTACCGTATGACAACGAACAACGATTTACAACGCCCATAGCTTTATTGCTGATTCGTTTTGAGAATTCTATCGAAATATTTTTTATTTTTTCCGATATTTTGCTATTCTCCCACGTTTTTAAGATATTCTTCAATTCATCATTTTTTTTCATGAAACGATAATCGATTTTTAATAATTATCATGAATTTTAAATAAAAATAAAAATTAAATTAAATAAAATTAAATTTCTTAAAATTTTCTTTAAAAAAGCAACATTTTTCTGATTTTTGCATAAAATTTTGCCATAATTTCGATGAAATGACAAAATTTTAGTGCTTTTTGTATATTTATTGTTCTGCTTTCTTAGAAGATACTTAAAATACTTAAAAAGTCTGATTTTATCGTCTGATTGAATAAATAAAGGATAAAAACCAAATTATGGCTCATTTTTTTGTCATTATTACTATTATTATTAATATTTTTGCATAAGAAGAAAGGCAAAAGAAGCATAAATTTATTTTTTCAAGTCATATAATTACAATGAATTTATTAAATTGTTCAAAATTTTCTTTTTCATGACGAGTGAGAAATTAAATAGGTAACCAATAATAGTACTACAGTAGACGATAAGTACAGCTGTAATAAACATGAGTTCTATCGAAATCGAACGAATCACTTTTTTGAACAAATCTTGTATTGTAATCAGGAGAAATACCTTAATATTAACGTTTAATTTAAGTTACATTATTCGATTTTAGAATATGAAATACTTCAAACAGAGTGAGAAATTTTGCAAAATTTACATAATTTATAAGAATTTTTAATTAATTCTTATTAAAATACAAAATATATGCCGCACTACTGGCAAAAAATTTTAGAGAAATATGCATACATCGTCTTCGAGAAGAAAAAATTTTGGAAGAAACTGATCAATATTTATGCTTATAAATTTTTTTTTATTTATATGTATATATTAAATTAGCCTATATTTTCCACTTTTTCAAATAGTGTTATTACCGAATTTTCTGAATATTAGGGATGAAGCATATTCACCAAAATCTCGAATGAGCTCTGCGATGGAGTTTAAAATTAGCCCCTCTTTAAGTTAGCTATAGATATTTCATGCATTTTTAAATGCTCAAATCTAGCCATTTAAAATTTCCATTGTATTCCATTATTGCTCTTTTTTTGTCAAATGATCAAACAAACGAAACGAAAAATCATGACATTAAACGATTACTGTTAGAGTATCAATCGATCATCTTTGGTTTTGTTTAATGACTAACGATCCGATCCGAGCAGTTTTTATGTCAGATATCTACTACGCTCATTAAATATTACTATTAATAATGGGAACAGATAAAAGGTGAAACAAAGACTGGTTAAAAAGAGGAAACAAAGAGTGGTCAATCCAATTATTTCATTGCTATTATTACATATGATATTAATATTAATGATAAATATTTAAAAAATTAAGCGATTAAGTGAAAAAAAAATACAAAACAAAATTTAATTAATAAATTTAATTTCAGCTTTTTTCTCAAGCAAAAAAAAGAAGACAATTCAAAAGAGAATATTTTTTCGAAAAAAAGTTTATTTTATTCTTTTATTTCCACAAAGAAAAGATCGAGCTGAGGCTAACTTTCAAAAAATTTTCATCAATAAGATTTCAATTTCTATTTATTCGCATTGATTAAAAAAACTTACTGAAATAATTTGACGAATTTTCCAGTAGTTTTTTTGCTTAACAATTATTAGTATAATAATATAGCGGTTATAATCACTTTTCGAAATATTAGCAATCAAGAGGAAAAAGCAAAATTTAGTTATGTGATAAAAAATCTAATTGATTTATAAATGCACATTATGGAAAGGGAAAATTGGAAGAAGGTAATGGAAAATAGAAATTGGCAAATTGGGGATAATAGAGAGAAAAGTTGTATGGTGGTTGAAAGCAGCGAAAACATATGTCGATATTCTCTTAAATTAACTATCCCTATCTATATTCATGGATATTATGAAGAGACCAATGCGAATAAATATAAAAATTCATTAATATTTTATTACTAATAGCAGATATATTCTTGAAGTTTTCAAATTTATTTTTCAAAAATTTTTATTTTTTTTAACTATTTTTCTAAAAGAGAAATATTTTTTTAAGCAATAAAAAATGGCTGCTTACTAGTAATTATAATTGAATTAGTATTTGCATTAATATGGTAAATTAAAATGAAAAATTTTATGGAATGAAAATTCTTTTTTTGGATAAATCATTACGGTAAATTTCAACTTGTTTTTTTTTGGTATATCTTGGTGATTCGGTGCTAAATGAGGTGAATCTTACTGGTTTCGTCTATTTTTTTGTTTATTTATTTATTTATATGAAATTTTTTATTGAAATCTTCAAAAAATAGTTGATTTGCCATATGGTGCTTATAAGCAATCAGATTTCTAACTAATTGTTGATAATTACTTCAAAGCTTAGGGATTTTAGAGATTTTAAAGACGAACTAATATGAATTATGAATGAGGTGATCTCTTTTCGATTAAAGTAATTTATCATTCTTATTCTAAAAAATCCTCATAGTTCATTTTCAAGTGCACACTTTTTCTTCAAATATTTTCAATACCGTATTCCTTGACAAATCCTAGGATATTTGTTTAGAAAAAAGAAGATTTTTTAAGACTGAAGTCTTTGAATTTATATTCGCTTACAGATAAATGTAAAGAAACGAAGAATTTTTTATGAAGAAGATTGTTTACGCTGAAAAATACGATAAATAGGATTTGAAAGTGGTAAATACGATATTTCCAGTTAGATTAGCCCAGCTAGTTAAATTATTCGAAATTTGCGCTAGGAAATTTATTTGGCTCGAAGTAAATGTTGAGCTACCACCACCATCCAAAATTTTTCCAAAATAGGTTTACATCACTTTTTGCTATTCACTGCTATTTGTGATAATTTAATTTATTATTGACTTCTGACGGTGCTCAACATTTCTATTCGGGCTCGTTTCGCTAGATTGTTTGAGCCTAAGGGATTATTTAGCGAAAGAAATAGGGATGAGCAGTTAGAGTACCTCGAAAAGTGATATATACGATAAGATATTCATAAGTACTGATTACAATAAAACTGTGATAAGCGCTTTAATTCATCTCGCTTTAATTTTATTCTTCGTCCAAAAGATTGATTTTTCGATGTTTCTTCTTTCAAGACATTGCAACTCTTATCCTCCATCAGAATTTTATCAGAAGTAAGAAGTCTTTCAAAGAATTTTTTGAAAAATTTAGAAAATATATCATTAAATTGTTACATTGTAGTGCTGTTCTTCCATTAATCTCACAAAGGAAAAATGTCAATCCTTCATCACTTTTATATTATTAGGGAAAAATGGGAAAAAAAGAGGCGAAATAATTCCATCCATAGGGAATTATTTGCAAATCAGACATAAAGGACAAAAGGCGATTAAAATAGCATTAAAATTTAGGCAGAGGTTAATTTTTTTACGACCTTAGGGGCCATTATCATTAGTTGTGGCTATGCCTTTCTCTTTTATCCTCTATAAAACAAACGATTGCCGAGAATATTTGAATCCACACTGCATTTATTAAAGAGAAATCCGAGAGGATGCAGCTCATTAGAGGCTTTATTTTTGTAAGTATATTTTCAAACAATTCCCTTTATTTTAAATTTTATTGAATTTATTACTTGTTCATTTTTATTTTTAGCGCCATTATTGTCAATATATCGTCCTTAACAAATCTGATAGGCTGATAAGAACTGATAAATAGATAAATCCGATAGGTAATAATAATATAATAATATGTTGTTAAAAGATTTTCGAAATGAGCTTTTCATTCATTTATACCAATTTTATTCATAATATTGTGGCATTGATTAATAAGGAATTATTGATTGTGGATAGAAAAATTAATTTTTAGCAGGTGAGATCGAAGCTTATTGAAGAATATCAGGTGTCCTACCATAATACAATTAATTATCTTGTTCTTTAGTCTGGAAACTACCGCACCACAAATAAACAATAAGCAATTATATAAAAATTTATTGAGATTGTTCAAAAAAAATTTTGCATTCCTTTCAGCTATTTATAAGAGTAAAGCCAAATTCGTCAGATCTAGACAATCGCCTCGATTCGATGTGCCATATATATGTAGCAATCGCGCGAATGAATCTGGCAATACGAAATGCGGATGAGTCGCCTGGATTTGCGGCTCTCTAGCAAAAATCATCTCTCATCCGACTGACAGTTTTCAGTTAAGCGGACTTAACAGAAATGACTATTCGCCAATTTTTTTTGCTTCAAAAATTCAGAAATTCTTTTTGATTTTTAAGTATCCCATTATTTGAAACAGAAATTCGAGAGGAATTCGTTTGATTTCAATGTTATCAGCTTTTATCATATAAAATTGAAAGAATACGAACTGACTTATCTGAGCGATATTTGAGCGATCATTTAAAAATTTTTTAAAAGTAACTTTTTATAATAATTTTTTTTAGTAGTTAATTTCTTAAAAAAAAAGTTTTCCTCGTTTAAGCTTTCTATGGAATCGATCTATTCGATTCTTTTTATACATTGATTTTATCACTGATTTTATGTTTTGCTTAATTCGAACTTCCAGAATTCAGTCTTTTAACTCTGTTTAGAATTATTTATTAGAATTTTTGCAATGAAATTTTTTCTATATTTTCCTGGTAAATTTCAATTCGCTTTTTGTATTTTATATTTGTATTTTAATATTATTTAATATTTTTTTTTGTTGTTTATAACTTAATACTACTTATTGTTTTAATTTTATTGCTTTATTATTTAATAATTTAATATTTATTTTTGTTTCAATAATATATTATTTAAATGAAATTTTATTAAAACACAAGTATAAATCAAAATTATTATATTTTATAATAATAAATAAAACTAAATTAAAATCAACGATGCATACAATCAGCAGGTGTCAATCACTTCTCTTTTATTTATTACTTTTTATTTTTCAACTTCCATCTCGATAATTGGTGTTTCCTCCTTTGCACATTTATATAATAAATGAATATTCTTTTTTCGATTTCATTTTAATAAACTTTTATTTTTAAAAAATTTTAAAATTTCTTATAAAAATTTATAATAAAATAAATAAATATAAATCAAATTATTGTCATTAAATAATTTTGGCAATTCATCGTTGTGTTTTATACGAAATTAATGTATTATTTATGCAATAATAATCGAAAAACATTCGTTTTTTTTTCCTATGTAAAATCATCTAATCCCTATGAAAAATAAATCCAATGTCAATTTGACATATTCAATCACAAAATTTCTCGACAACCATATAGAAAAAAAAATTATAGAAAAAAGAAATTAGTTAATTAAATTTGAATATTAAAATTGGAATAGAAAAAAGTTTTAGAAATTTTGAATTGAAATAATTATTTCTAAAGTATTTTTTAAAAAAATTATTATGTAAATTATTAATAAAAGCATTATAAATTTTATGAAACTTTAAAAAATTTTAATTTATTTTAAATTTAAATTAAATTTTATTTTAAAAAATTAAAAAAAAATTTTGATATAAATGACAAATGGTACTTTTCAAAGACATCAAAATTGACAGAAATGGCATGCAGCGATCTAATGAGCGAACAAATGAAATGATAATTAATAAACGAATGAACGACACGCAACAGGAGAAAGCATCTGTTACCATTGCTCATATATATTAAAACAGTACATTAATCTTCGTGTACTTCCATAATACGATACATATGATATTTTATTCTAAACGATTTTAAGAAACGATATCAGTTTCGGATTTTTTTCGGATTTTTTAATAGGTGTAAATTTGCTATTAATATAAAAATGAAATTAGCGCCGTGTCCAACATAAAACAATTCCATCATATCAATCGCAATAGTAGAATTCTTTATCAGTTATCAGTTATTAGCATTCCGATGAATGATTAAATTTCCAGATTTCATCTTTTCAAATATCAATATCAACTGAAGAACGATGAAGAACGCAATTGCAAATGTTCTATGAAAAAAACGATGAAATTCCGAGAACCACGTCACGTCGAGTCACCATTCTCTCGAATTTCTCTAATTTCACCACAAACCAACTTAACATTTTCTAACGAAAGAAATGCGGTACAAATCAAAATAAAACTTCTTCCAAAAATTTTTATCATTCAGTTCGCATAGACTGATTACCAAACCACGTTCCATTTCGATCATTTCATTCTCCTTCTCGACTAATCTGAACATTTATTTCTGATAGACCTATAATCGACTACAATTAGTGTAGGACAAAAGTTTCCAAACATTTTAACGGTGAGTGCCATTTCATCGACAATTGACAGGATTAGGATTACAATCAATAGCGAAGTGCAGATGGTCGGATAAACGATAAATGCGCGAATACCTCTTTTCTCGAACTATTAAGCTTGAAAGTTAGAATCAATTGTAACTAAAAATCGAAATCCATTTTAATATCAATAATAGATTTTGCTCATAAAAAAAATAATGCCAACATTATTAGCCAACGCTCACAGTCGTTCAGTTATATTAACCATATTATCATTTTTAATTATCCTTTGTTTCGATCTAACCAAAATTAATACAGAGAAAAGATTTAAGAAATACCAAAAAAGGATGAATAATTTGTAAAATATTGCGAAAAATAATTCATAAAATTTCTATACAAAAAAAATGAGAATTTCATTTGCAACCAAATTTTGACTAAAAACAATTTATTAAAAAAAACCATCTTTAAAAAATGCAAAAACAATGATAAAATTTGTTTCAATCGATATGCAAAATGGAAAAAATAGGAAATCAAAAAAAAACTGATAAGCATAAAGCTTTTTGCTAAATCTAAAAAAAGAGCGCCAATAATTTAAACAATAAAATATAACTCACAAGCTAACCATTAAATGGCTTAAAAAAACAAAACAAAATATAGCAAAATTTAATGAAGAAATCTTTAGGCTCAATTTTATTGTTAAAATCCTTATGTTAAGGATTTTGGATTAGTTTTTCAAAAAATTTAACGATTATTTAATAATTCAAAGAGAAAAACAAATAATAAGAAATGACTAATTCTACTGTATATGCCTAAATCAATCAAAATCAGTTTTACTTTGAAAATTCAAATGTTCTGATCCTTCTTTTATAGAATCATTAACAAAGCTAATAAGTGCATTCAAATCGAACTCTAAATCTGCGATTTGTTCCTTCCATCGGCCCCGCTCAAGTGCCAGCTGTAAATTCACAACATAAATTTCTTGAGTTTTTTTGTTATAAAGTGAATCAGGTATAATCAAATGTAACTGGTTGAATTTTATAAATTCCAATACGGAAAAGATCTATGTTTTTCTTTTGACTAAGATCTGTTATCATAATTTAATAAATACATTTAGGCAAAAAAAAAGAAAATTCTATAGAAATTTTTTGATTTTATTTTATAGAAAATTCTATAAAACATTTAATCATAATTGAAAAATAATAAAGGATTTTTTAATTTCACGGCTAAACAATATATCAAACCCTTTAACAATATAATTTCTATATGTTTATACAAAAAGAGACAAAGGAACCTCGAAATTTTTCTTTAGCTCCCTATCCAGCTTCTTCATAAGGCAATAGGTCAATGATCGCAAATATGCCACAGAAACGTGTGAGTCAAATAGGTCATTTTCTGTTATTACTGGTTCATCCAGAGTCACACCAACCTCAGTCTGTGCATACTTATTACATGGCAAATGTGACTGATCCTGAACATACTGCTAAGAAATTAACCAAAGCAGCTAAAATAGCAGTTTGGATTGGATAAAAAATAAAACAGAATGTTTTAGAAAAGAAAAGAATGATAAAAGACGACGAAAAGATTGCATCATATAGTAAGTCACTAAACATAAAAAACAGTATGAAGGAAATTAAAAAAACACTTCAAAATTTTTCTCTGACTCCTTATCCACACTTTGCACAAGGTTAATTATTGGTTGCAAATTTGTTGCAGGAAGATCCGATTTCGAAAGGTCATCCTTGGCTGCTTCATTATCGACTTCAGCTCGTACACAATCAATAGATGGCGAATCTGATCGATGGTGAACATCCTATCAGGAATACATGAAGAAATTAATAATCAAAATTAAAACTATTAGAACAATTATACAAAAAAAATAAAAGTGTGATAAAGTTGAAAAAATAGCTTGATCACACAGATAAAGTTATCAAAAATTAGAATTGAAAATGCGTTCAAAAAATGAAAATACCTCAAAATTTTTTTTTGGTTCCTTATTCAGTTTTACAGAAATATCTGGATCTAATAGTTCATCCTTCGTTACCAGTGGTCCATTCGTAGCAATACCGATTTCAGATTCAACTGCTTTATCACTGCACAGCGTATGAGATCGATCCTCATTATTCTATTAACCAGAACTATTACAATGATTTCGTGAACAGATAAAAGATATGACTTTTCACGAAAGAATAATATGATAAAAAAATATATGGCCAAATTAAATAAGAGAGATGCACTTCGATATTTCCCTCTGATTCCTTATCGAGCTTTTTTACAAAATTATCGGCCATTTGTTGCAAACGCGTCGTGGAAAAATCTGATTTGGAGAGGCCATCCTTAGTTACCTCTGGTTCATTTATTCTGATTTCAGCTTCTGCACAGTCACTTAGTAGTAAATGTGATTGATTTTGAACATCCTAAATAACAAAATGAAAAAACATGCGTGAATCAAACACAGGTAATAGAAATAAAATTTCTCGCTATTCTAAAGCTTAAAATAATTTCTATAAAAAATAAAAATATGAATTTTACTGAATTAATTTATAATGATCACTCGATTCGTAAAGACATTTTATGAGTGCACATCGGCGCAGGTCTGTGTATATGGGGAGGTATGTATATGGGAGAATATAGATGATTGGAGCAAAGCAACCTGCTCCCAATTCTCATGAAAGGTGATAGGACATACTGCGATAATTATTGATGAATCAGCCTACTAAACGTCTCAGCGAAAATTTTTGCTTCCCTGTTACTTAACAGACTTATGGATATACGTGGCCGCAGGATGTCGTAATCAAGCTGGATTTAGACCAAGGTGCGGTTGTGCCAAGGCGCGGTTGCTAACCAGACATTTATGTTAGGAAGGGTGATGGAACATCGCTTCAAATATTTGACCCACTATCATGTGCATTTCATCGACTTTGCAGCTGCCTTTGATTCAATTGATAGAGCGGTGCTTTGGAGGATGGAACACTACGATATTCCAGAGAAGATCATTAGATTCATAAAGGCATTTTATGAGCGCATATCGGCACAGATCTGTGTATATGAGGGATTGACAGACTGACAGACTCCTTCGAAATAAGAACTGGTGTCCGTCAAGATTGTATCCTTTTCTCTACAATATTCAACTATGCGATAAACTGGATAATGGACACAGCTTGTTGGCACTCAAGAGGTAACCAAATCAGTCCAGAGCATCGTATCGCAAATCTTGAATACGGTGATGGTGTAGTCCTATTTGCTGATAGATGAAATGCAACTAATAAATAAGGTGTCAGCAACTGCAGCAAAAATCGGACTCAGGAACAATGTAAATAAACGAAAGTCTTATGTGCGAGCTGATAAAATGACTATTTTTGTAAATTCATTGTCGGTTGAGGAAGGGCACGATTTCAAATACTTTAGGTCCACTCTAATACCAAATAGCTAGGTAAAATAATATTAAAATCCGGATCACGGCAGCTAAAAATGCGTTCTTCCGTTTGACGAAACTTTTATGGAATCATCGTGAAATCATCATAAAAACGAAAGTCCAATTTATATAGTCGTGATCCGTTCGATCTTGGCATGTGGTTCTGAGTCATGGTCAATGAGAGTGGAGGATATTAAGAAGTTATCTGCCTTTGACCCTCAAAACCTGGACTGACACGGCCAGGCAAGATTTTGAACGTATAAGTGGACCAGCAATAAAGAGACTTGGATGATGGAATGGCTTCTATTACTGTCGGTGATGGCATAAGACCGCGCCATTTGGAAGACCTTGTAGCCGTTGGAGCCAGCCTAACCAGTAATGATGAAAGCTGTCAGAAGATGAAACTACCAGTATTAATGAATGATATTTCTGCTTGAAACAGAGATTGTTTTGTGCCTTAGCAACCAACATAGACGTCTTTTATTTCTAAAATAACTATCTAGTATAAATATAATTCAAAACTACCTAGTTATATTCGGTGACAGAGTTGCCTGTAAGGAATAGAAATAATCCATACATACATCTGTTTTTTTCTTGGAGAAAAATCATGATTTGATTCGTAATTCGTTATTTCCCAATAATATCATTTATATCTTGCCTAACAATGATGAAAACATTTGATCGGATTACCGCTTGACTCAATCTACTAAATTCACTTCAGACTATGCCATAAAGTTAGATCTGCGATACACTGCCCTGGCTACCTGAGATAACCAAAATTGATGGTAATTGGTGCAGAACAACCAAAATTATGTCCATTCTAGCGAAATTTTTTTCAACCTTGAATCAATCTGCTGATAATTCAGTACAGTGTATCCAATGATGATGATTATCTGAACGTACTTGAACAGCGTTTTATACCAATATGTGCAAATATGGATAATTTTGAAAGTGATATTCTGAAAACAGATCAAACGCCCTAGATGAAGTCATATTGAGAAGTGAAGTGGTTCAGAAGATTCAGTATTAGTATTAGAGAAAATAATCGAGAATAAAATTAGGCGTAGAAAAAATCAAAATGACAGAAATTTCACTTCGCAACATATTTCCCTCACAAACTTCAATACAATTGATTTTTGATTTCCTTTGCATTTTCGATTTATTGCAATGCTATGCTTGCTAAAGAAATTTCACTTCAAAAACCAAAAGTACTAAAACAATATAATGACGGAATAAAAAATAAATCAAATTCTGAATGAACAACAATGAACAATATGAACAAAAATTTTGATGTTTTTCTCAAAAAATTATTTATAAAAAAAAACCTCAGCAACTTTAAAATACCCTTTCTTGAAACAATCTGCTATAGTTTTTTGCTTATTGGCAACTGAAACATCCTGAAATATCGATAATAACAGCGTCAACATGTAAACATTTTACTGCTTTAAAAAGAATGAAAGAATCCCCAATAAGCAAACATAACATAACCTTTCAATTTTTGCTCAAAAATTCAATCCCACTGGAAATAGAAACGATAACCTTTACTATGCCGACTTTCTTCGACTCCACTTTGCGAATATTTTGCACAGACCGAAGCGCCAAGCGATCACCCATCCTAAATTTGAAAAATCAAAAATAAAAAAAGATTGAAATTTTCCAATTATATTAAAAATTTTTAAAAATATAAAAAATGTAAAATAGAATTATATGCAAAAAACAATTCGTAAAATAGCACGTATAATAAACGAATTTTATTGAATATTTATCATACATCTTATAATAAAGAAAATAATTCATAAGTACAATAATAAAAAATAAATAAATATAAAATCATCGATCATTGAGAGCATTCAATATTTCGTTGTATAAATCGTCTCGTGCAACCGATAATCTATTAAACGTGATTTTCGCATCTTCTATTTCGTTTTCAAGCTGAAACATTCATTTTATTGATGACTTTTTCTATTAGAAATTCTTCATGCATTATATCATAATATATATATTTATTATATATATATTATATTTAAAATATCAAAAACATCGTTTGCTCACTGCGTTTAATGGAATCAAAAATCAAAAATGTACAAGTCGACTAAATTTAGGACGAAAATTGATCCACAACTAAAATTTAATAATGCATCTAAAAAAACTGTTATAATATCTAACAAATGGAAAACGACAAAAAATATAGAAAAATGGGCTATTAAAAAAAAATGAAATGAAAAAATAAGAAAAGAATCTTTCTTCTATCCCACTTTTTCTTCTAATCTTCCATCTTTACTTTGGCCGACTCCGCTAATTATGAAAAGCCCTCTCATCGAGCCATTACTATGACTTAAATACCTCAGAAACTCATGTTTAAATATCTTAGATACATTTTACGGATTTGCTGAAAAAATTCCACATGATTGCATCCACCTTTGCTCAAATACCACCTGCCCAAAGCATCGCCTTCGCTGATTCGGACACATTCTTCGTCTTCCACCACAGTATTTGGTACATATTTCATCTGCTAAACTCTAGGTGGCATCAGGAAAGTTTCTGAACTTTATAGGAGGATCAGCGATATACGGACTTCAACACGGTAAAAAAATAGCTTCTATCAGAACGAGCAGAAACAGAAACACTTTACTCTTATAGCTAACGGAACCAGCTTAACCAATAATAGTGATAAGTTAGTGTTAGAAGAAGGTATTTATCAGATCAATCCTTATCGAATTAATAAACAGTGAACAGTGAATTCTATCTTGGCTATATGTAGCTGAAATTGCTTTCTATCGTCTTTATGGATTTTTCATAAACATAATATGTTAACATTAATATCAAAACTTAAGTTTCATAAATATAATATGGTCATGAAAGTGGAAGATATCAAATTTATGTTTACTTATTTTATCTATTCTTATAACACATTTCAAATCCAGTTGAAGTGCCAGAAAAGTAGTATTATCATCAGAAAACGTCATCAGGCAAATTGAGGCATACCATGCCAAATTTTGGACCAGACAAAAAGAACCAAAAAATCCCAATATAGATATGAATTAATTTTAAATGTAACAGTTGGAATGAACCACTTTATTGCCAACGCAGTTGGCCAAACCAAAACAACTAATAATGGTGCATGGCCTTTTACTAATAGTGCACATGTATCAGGATGCGAAATCTTTGCCAAACAGTTAAATATAAAAAGAAGTCAAATTCTCTATCATCATTCGAATTTCCCTTTGGCAAACCCCATTATAACGAAAAAACAAAGAACCTAATATGTTTTCTAGTACTGTAATCTATGTAAAATTATTTCAAAAATAATATAAATTACCTCTTCATTCTCTAAACATTTTGCGTCAACTTTTTTCCTTATTGTTTCTGCCGCTAATTTCCAAAAGGCAGTTTGCAGATCACATTCGCCATCGATTTCTTGATGCGAACAACTCAACGAAATTTCGGTCTCTGTTTCTTTAGTGTTCTCAGTGTTACTTTCTTTTATTGCCAAATTATGCTCATCGCTTGCTACCTTTTTTTCATTCGAAGTTTCTAGTTCAATATCTCTCATTCTGATTCCTTGTTCTACCTAAAATCATCTATTTAAAATTTTTTTAGAAAATAAACTTTTCACATTTTGAAAATTTAGAAAAAAGTAAGAAAATATATAAAAATAAAAATTCATAATATGATCCAAAAGGCTAAAATTTGGAGTTCATTTAATAAAATTTTTAGAACCTTATCACTCCTTTATCAGTGCGTTCAAATGAAAGAATTATTCTCACCTGATTAGATGATTTGCTAGACTGCAAAATCGATTCTGACTGAGATGTTGACCCCATTATAACGAAAAAACAAATAAATTGTTTTTCATTTATTTATCTATTCTTTTTCAAAATATCGTATAATTCGTCCTGTAATTTCGTCTTTTCCACTTAAATTTTACCTTAAATTTGAGTAGCGTAGCTAAACTTTCCAATTCAGAAATAAATCCGAATAAAAATTGTAACATAAACAATCGACTATCACAACAAAACAGTTATTAAAAAAGCCTTACCATAAATACCATAAATGAAGAAAGCAAGAAAGTTTCACAAAGTAAAACTAGTTGGCTGGTGATTAAACCAAAAAAGTCCATACTTACCCTACAATCAATAATCCTAAATCTCCACTCATTATCTATTATCCATTTGTTGACCACTGTGATCTATTGATTCATATCCCATTCAAATTTCAATACACTCAATTTAACCAAATGCAACTGCGGATAGATACCCGATTTCAGTTAAACTTATCATATCTTGCGTTATATTCAGGCTAATTTCCCATGTAAGTAAACTCAAACTCTATACTCTATACTCAATTTATTGAAAGTCTCCATAAGAAATAAACAAATAAAACCAATTAATAAAAATAAAATGTCAGGTAATAAGACAGTAAATGACAACTAAAAAAATAAATAGATGGAACTGCAATAGACGCTAGGCCAGATTTCGAAAACTGGCCTCAAAATCAGTCTTATATAAAACAGACAATCTATATAAATCATATATACATTGAATCCACGCTCACCTCTAATAGCCAGCCGAAAGATGGAATTCCATCTCAAACGACTGCAGCAAAATGCGAAATGTGTCTGGGATCGCCACGAAATCAAAACTTCACATTAATCTAGCTAGAATAGTTGATACATTCATAGATGGCAAAGAGACTTGGCTAATGGGATTAATAGACGCTAAGAAGTTATCTGTTTTTGATCATCTTTGCCTAAGGGAAATCCTATTTACGGGCTAAGTCTTATATCCAGCTTGATTGCTCGAATGCCGTTTCCACTAAGAACATCACAAAGACAAGCAGTAAATAATAAAACGAAAATAAGAACTTACTTTAAATTTTAGGATAGATTTTACAAGTATGCAAACAATAATCATAACCTCACGGCTTCTTTTCTTTTTGTAATCCGCACCATTGTTGGTTCGACTCTGTTGGTGATAAAGATAAAATCCAAGCTTCCGGTCTTACATGACTATATCGAGATTGAGGCTGAGTTCAGCTCAGCATAGATTCTATCCTTATTCAGATCATTCATGCAAAAGATAAAAGCATAAATACTAGTATCTAACTGAGATCGTACCAAACTTTCTTTTAAACTCGAGCATAGATCAACTGGATTATTAACAGGATTCCATAAAATTATAATAAATCGTAATCGCAACTCCAATTCTGAGTTGGCCAAAATATTACTGAAGTAGAACCAATTTTTATTCGAACCGAATATAATACTCCGAATACTACTCTAAATTACGATAAGAGATAGGATAGGAGATAATGAGAATAAATATTCACACCATATTTGAAGAGAACAGTTCACCTGGATTCCAACATCCACAGAAATTCTGGCGTTCCACTTAGCTACAGTCAAAACCTCGCTATCGAACAGGAAGTTCTCGCGAAGTATACAAAGTACGCTGGCAATTGTCTGACCTCCTTCGATGGGATAAAGCGAGAACTTCCTGTTCGAGAACTTACAAGGATACTAGGCGTGCAGACGTCGCTTGAGATTCATCTGCCTCATTCGCCACCTGTGGATATGAATAGGAATACAGCATCAGAAGGCACCTCGATTTCACATTAAAGACGGGTTTTCCGGATTTTCCGGACAATTCTTTAATTGGTAATTGCGAAACTGTTAAGATAATTGTTAATTAAAAATTTTTCACAAAAAAATTTAAATCGCACAGTTAGTATAAATTGAAAAAGTTAAAAAGTGCAGAATTCATCCCTCCATATTTCTGTTATTTTTCAGCAAACGTACTTGACAAACAATTTTTTTTTATTATAAATCAAACTAACCTTTATACAATGATTTATACAATAATTTCACTGATCAATTGGAACCGTACTAGCAATAACAATTAACGATTCGCTAATCTACGATAGCAATAAAAATGAGCTAAATTATAGATAAACAAATAAAAAAAGAAAAAATAAATCATTTATAAATAAATAAAATAATAGAAAATGAGAAAAACTGAAAATAATAAAAATTGCCCGAGGGTTAGAGGGCTCAAATCGATAAAAATCTCGCGAAAATATATTTCGATAAATTTCAAAAAATTCGGCAATTTTGATTCTTTCGATTTATTTGATTTGATTTATTCGCAAGTTATTCATTTTATTGATACTAATTTTTTTTCATTCCTTGGATAGTTTTTATTTCCAGTTTTTCAAAAAAAAGGTTTTTCCTAGAAATTGGTCCTTTTCAATTAAAGCCTTCGCCATATAGCCATTCAATCGCCCAAATTCTCAAATTTAGTTCCAATTCCAAGAAAATAGCTATCAACCCTCCCCCAATAATCCCCCTAAACCATACTGGCAACAATCACAAAAATTTCGAAATTTTCGCGCCTTATTTTTATAATCTTTTCGTTTTAAGACCACCACAATTCAAATTTAATAGCACTATATTAACAAATTCGCGGTGGATAACAATAATATAATCATAATATATGTGAGAATGCCCTTTAACATATGCTAAACGTGCTTTAATTGTATGTTTGTGGTCATGTTTTGGCTCGTACAATAGAGGATTAGGGGGAAATGGGTTTCTCACCAGGTCGTAGGTCTCATATTGCTTAGTAATTTATCTAGTTAGACTGGCTATAATGGAAAGACGTCTCCAAGCTGCTCGGTCCGACGCCATTGATAATAGTTATAGAAGGGTGGACGACGAAGAACCAGTGCTCTAAGCAGCAAAGGTGACGGTCTGTTATTGTGACATTATGCGTGCATTCATGTGAGATTTATCAGCTCAGTGGATTTGAAAGATGTATCTTAGATATGAATGGTCAAAGGTTAGAGGCAGATAGCTTCTTAATATCCTCCACTCTCATCGGCCATGTTTCGCAGCTATTTAGCAAGAACGAACGAGAATTATTTAGCAAGAATTGCAGTTATATAGATGCGGACTTTCGTTTTTGTGGTGATTTCGTGACTTTCTATAAAGAATTCGTCAACCGATGAACGGATGAATTTCATGCTTTTCTAGCTACCGTTATCGGGGTTATTTTGCTTCTTGCTTGGCCATTTGGAATTAGAGTGGATTTAAGAAAATATTAAAACTTGGTACTTCTTCACTTTATTGATAGAAACAGGTATTTTATCAGCTTTTTCTGTACAAAACTTCCTTTTTATTTACATTGACACTGAGTCCGATTCTTGCTGCAGTTGAGGACATGTTATTTAGCATTATTTTGTCACAGTATGTCCTGCAGTTTTTCTTGGGAATTGGGAGCATAATTTCTTTGTTCAGTCTTCTAGTAATATTTTCATCCATGCAATGGCGTACATTTTTTTAAGGTGTGTTATGAAGGACGACAAATAGTATTTGAAGGGTTCAACCTGAAGACCATCTTCTCTATGAGCTTTATTGGCCTTAAACATATGGATAATAGGGGTTATTTCCTCTTTTGTTGGCAATTTGCAGTTACAAATGGTTCGATGATCGAATCAGCTATATCCTGGACACAGGTGGCCCATGGTGGCGTGAAATAATTCTATCCGTCTTATGAGGTGAAAGCCTTAACGGATGGTTCGATGATCGAATCAGCTATATCCTGGACACAGGTGGCCCATGGTGGCGTGAAATAATTCTATCCGTCTTATGAGGTGAAAGCCTTAACGGATACATTATTGCCCTGTATCATATGAAAAAAATGCTGTTTTGGTTTTTTGTTTTTTTTGATGTTTGATTTCTCCGGTTTCATAGAAAAACTTTGTTTGAAACTTTGAGCGCAGTTCGAAAATTTTTTGTATTCAAACTTTGGCAATTTAATATAAAATTATTAAATTATTAAATATTATTAAATTTAATATGAGTCGAGGGATTGTCATCTCGAAAAATAAATGCGGGGCTCTATTCCGGACAGAAATAATCTTCCTTTTGAAAATCCTGGTTATGGCAGTTTACTTGTGTTTTAACTAAATTACTTCTTGACAAAATTTGTCTTCTCTGACAAGCTGGTATAAGCAGAGCTTAACTAGAAATGTAAGCATTCTTAGAAAAAAAGGTTTGCTTCACCTATATTCTTCCACCCAATCATTTTTGGTCTAGGCAATACACTATAATCATAACAGTGACATTGAGAAATTTTTGTTTTTACTTTTTATTTGGGCTTTCGTTGAATTAAAATGGCTCTTGCAATTCTACTCGCAATAGAAAGATAATTATTAAACATAAAATAATAATTGTAATTTTCTTGAGAGCAGCGGATTGATAGCTGTCACGCGGTAATATTTTAGAAATTGCTTGATCCGGCTGCTTTAATTAACAGCACTAGTAGAATTGTTCACCGTACATTTCAATAAAATTTTATTTTCTACCTCAAAGTTGGCTAATTAAACCTTACAATAAAAGTGAAAAGGAACTAAGAATTAAAAATAAGAAAATAAAAGTTTACACGAGAAAAACAAAAAAAAAACATAGGAATACATCCGAATTAAATCTAGCGAAATTAAAAAAGTTAAAAAATTAAAAAAATAAAAAAAATAAAACAATAAATTTAAATACCGGCCACTCGGGCTCAAATTATGACAAAAATAAATCGTTTGGAACTAATCAAACCAATTAATTGAAGGATCAATTTTCGGGAATTAAGGAACTTGCCTAAAAAAAAATGAATATGATTTGGAACAAAAATAAAAACTAATACAATAATGGAAAAACTTCTCTGGAGGACATGGTCCACAGTTCGTGACAGTGATATTGCGACATGTATTGGAAAATCAGCTTATTAAATATTTCTAGAAAGATTTTTGGTACTTAATGCATCACAACCAAGCC